CTGAGTAATTATTCAGTTGGTATGATTATATAGTATCTAAATAAATCAGGCAAGATCTCTTTTCCGTTGACCAAAGGCCTATTTTAAGATTTTCCTCTTGTAGGACAATAACCGTGATTCTGATTCTGGGTGCCAAGTTCACACCATGGCAGATGAATATATGACGTACAGAATATAGAACAGACACGATCCTTTATCATGTAATATAGAAGTTATTACACTCTATTCATCACACTTCTATCTGCAACATTCTGAACACTCTGCTATTTTTTCACTTATTGTTAATTCCAAAAATGTAATCAATTTGTATTTCTTGATTTGATTATTTTTTTGTAATTTGAAAGCCTATACCGGCTGCCAGCTTGCATGCCAGTATTGTTTTGTTATTGGTGAGATATGTTTTAATCTGTTTGTTTTAAAAACTTAGCATGCAGAGGCTAGGTCTGAACTTCAGAAAACTTTCTCTCTGAAGTGTTTTTTGTTGTCTTCTTATGAATGAATGTGTGTGTTATAGTACATTTTACAATTGGTACTAAGGGATGCAGGTAGCCTAGTGGTTAGAGCATTAGGCCAGTAACCAAAAGGTTGCTGGTTTGAATACCTGAGCAGACAAGATGCAAAAAATATGTTGATGTGTCCTTGAGCAAGGCACTTAACCCTCATTTGCTCCAGGGGTGCTGTACTACTATGGCTGACCCTGTAAAACATATTTTTTCTTTGTACAGTTGCTTCAATACAACACCAATAAATAACTGTTTCAAATATGATTTCATAACACCATAATCAAACATTGATCACAAGTGAATTATATGTAAATTCCAAAGAAAATTGGAAATGTATTAATAAATTATCATAGGCATTTACATTTAAGTCATTTAGCAGACGCTCTTAACCAGAGCGACTTACAAATTGGTGCATTCAACTTAGGATAGCCAGTGGGACAACCACCTTTTTTTCGGAGGGGGGGGGGGGGGGGGGGGAGGATAGAAGGATTACTGTTATACTATTCCAGGTATTCCTTAAAGAGGTAGGGTTTCAAGTGTCTCCGGAAGGTGGTCAGTGACTCCGCTGTCCTGGCGTCGTGGGGGAGCTTGTTCCACCATTGGGGTGCCAGAGCAGCGAATAGCTTTGACTGGGCTGAGCGGGAACTGTGCTTCCGTAGAGGTAGGGGGGCTAGCAGGCCAGAGGTAGATGAACGTATGGCAAACGTGCCCTCGTTTGGGTGTAGGGTCTGATCAGAGCTATACCTAATGTATGCTTGGAGGTGTTCAAATTAAGTGACTTGAAGAGTAGTTTGCATCAGAGCTTGGGTCAGCTCCATTTCACCTGAAGACCACTCAGGAAACTAATTTGATATAATTTAATATTTAAACATTTTGATTAATTTTCTAATCATTAGGTTACTTGAACTGAAATGGAATTCATCTGCATAATATTCCCTGAGGTTATCATTCATAAATGTGTTTTCTGTATTGAATTGGAGTAAAACAAATGTACCATGAAATGACGATATACTGCAACTTGATATTAGAAAATTCATTTCTATCAAGAAAACAATTATCAGTTGATTTATTGTTTCACGTAATATTGTACAGTGTCTGAAATGTATCAACATCTCTTTTTCTGGACAGGTTTCTGACAAGTTAATTGCTGTTTTCAAAAAAATATTTAATTATTAAAACATTACTAAAAAGTTCCTATAAGTCACATTTCCTAAGCTATTTCTATGTTCATGACAAGAAATCTTCACCAGCAATACTATGCATCACAAATTAAAAAGATCACACTTACATTCACATAAAAGTTGGCCTAGATCCAGAGGCTGACAAAACGGGTCTTGAACAACAATTTCAATGGATAGAGTCCAAAGCAAAACACTTCAAAAACAGTCTTTAACATCACACGTTTTTTAAAAAGGATTATGGAAAGGCAACAAACAGTGTTTTGAACGTTAATGTAAATTAATTTCATATTTTGTCATTTGCTTAGAAACGTTCATTGCCAATAGACATTGTTTTTAAATAGGCCTAGGCAGAAACCCGCCATTTTCTGTGTGGAAGACATTAGTGTAAATCTATATGGGGACCTCACAGGGGAAAATACCAATACAATTCTTAAAAAACTAAACATTTAAGGAACATTTAATGCAATTTAAGTGCCATATATGAATGTCGGTCTCAAAAAGCTATTTATCCAATATCACATAAATTATAAAAATCCTTAGAGAAAAGGTATTGCACACGTTTTATCGACATTCACTACAACATGGCGTTCACGACAAGAATGTTCCATACGTTCTAGCTCAAGCAGTCAGCCAATAGAATGCATTGAGACTAACAAGAGATGTTTAGAGATATTCGACTGAAGTATAAATAAATAGATAAGGGGATCTCACCCAAAACGGTATCCCTTGTTTCACTGAACAACGGGAACGAATGAGATATTGTTCCCCACAACACGATAAATGACTTACTATACATATAGTTTAAACTTCCTTATGGAAAAAAATATCATCCTATTTGGTCTTAAAATCTCACCGATGTATCCCGTGTGCCATTCATAACAATCTTTAATCATTCCACACCAGACGTAGTCTTGGGTATGAAACTTTCTTTATGTAAGCCTGTTTACCCCTATGGAATACAGCCATACCGACGTTTTCCCCCAAAGAATGGGGGCGGGGACTAATTATGTACATTCCTCACGGATATATCACCCTTTTGCAGTTCCTGAGCGCCTTGTACAAGCCTGGAATCGTAAACGAGAAGGACTGCGCACATTTGTTCGACATAAACAAAGTGTAGACGCTAAGTCACACTAATAGTCCAATCTTTTATCTATATGAACACATAGCCTATTACACATTTCCAGAAAACTGTCTCATATAAACATTTCGTTATTTCACAACACATGGAATTAGAGTTGGACTCATTGAATACATCGAATCAATATAGGCTATTGAACTGCAACGAATTCATAACGCGGTTGTTTATTGATTGTTGAAAGTTGAAAAGGCTTTTATATGAAAGATGACACATATCCTAATGTTCACCATTTAATCAATTACAGGTTAATTTGCGAAGCAGAAGAACGTATAGGCCTAATAAAGGTGTGTTTGAAACCATCTCATATAGGACTTCCTTGTAGTTCTATTTAATTTTATATAAGACAGTTTCCCATCTCCAAATTTTAACTCACTTTATCAACTCAAATAATGGGACTGCTTTTGTGGAGTAGCCTAACATGTATCTAGTTACATCTTAATTATTTCGTTACATTAAGAATTTATTATCACCTTTATTCATAAGGAGAAAAAAACTTCATTTTTTTCGCGCGCTGATTCATATAGAATAGCGGTGCAAAAGAGCCAATGAATGAACACGCTGAGCTCGAGCCAGCGAGAGTAGTAGGGGAGCGAGAATGAGCTCTCTGACTGGTCAATCTTTCCAACCAATAGCAGAGCACTCTATGTTTGGCCAGCACAGAGTACGTCAACTAAAGTGCTGTCAGTGCCATAGCAGAGGGCCTACGGTTTGAGGCTTTGACAATTCCCAATTTATTTCCTTATGCCTAACATGAACATGTCCATAAAACTGAAATCATCAATTGTTCTTATGTTGTCTAGAAACAAAATACTAACTTTTCCTGCAGTATACATTTGAAGAAGGCATTTTATCAATATGGCATTACGTGTTGCCCTCACACATTATTTAAAAGTTGTAAATAAACTATATGCACTCCCATGCATATTGTGTAGTACTAAACAAATTGTATAGGTACTGGCTAAACTATTAACTATCCCACTCTGCTCTGGTATGTGTGCGTAAAATCACTGAAACGCTATTCAACAGTGGCAATGCATGCGTTTCGAATGTGGGCCTATTGAGCCGATAGAAATCCACTTTAGAACGTACAATAATTAGACCGATTCTAATTTTATGTATTACACTTTCATTCTATTATTCCCTCAAAATGTATTTAGGCGAAAATCTTTTATTTTAGCCTAAATATCAGAATGGATAGCCGAAGGACTGAGATCATATATATGCTAAATGTAGCCTTGTAATTTGGTGCTTGTGAATTAAGGTCCACGTTTGAACTTGTGTTGTGAATTTCATCTACCGCTAACTACAATAATTTTACACTGGATACATATTAACAAGTGTAATTCATTGTCTGAAGAAATGTTCTAAGCCTAGCCAGACTGCATTTGAATGAACGTTGCTTGCTTGTTGTCGCCACCAGTTCGCTAGGGGCATTTCTCTGGATAACATTTTAAAGTGGTTATCCCACTGGCTATAAGGTGAATGCACCTATTTGTAAGTCGCTCTGGATAAGAGCGTCTGCTAAATGACGTAAATGTAAATGTAAAATGACAAGACCTTCCCTCTCTCTACATAGCAGATATCCCCACGCCGGAATGGTAAGTGGTTCGCCATATGCAGTAGTAGCAAGCTCAATGGATTCCTGGTTCTACTATTGGTTTCTTCTCCAGATAAGTGTTTTCGAAAACAAACAAGCAATCTCGCCCCAAGACACCCTATTCCCCTCTCTGCCATTTCGTGTGGCCATGGACAAATCTGGCATGCTGCTGGACTTTGTATTGTAGACTAAAGCAGGGAACCACCTCAATCTTAGAGAAGATGGATGCCGTCATGTGGTTGGTAGTAAGCGTGTCATTCCCAAGTTGACCGGGCCATGGTCCTAGGGGAGGACGCATGCTAGACTTTCATTGATTCAATCCAATTCAATGTGTTTCACATGCATAAATTATAACGTCGTGCGATATAATTTATGAATGACACCTCCCCCTTCTTCCTCTCCCACCATACTGTTCTATACAGGATACCCACCGCAGTCTCGCGTGCGCGCAAAGCTCCGCAACACTGCTCTGCTATATGCGTGCGCGCACTGCTGTTTGACTACTTCGACCAGCGACCAATGGGAAGCGAGGGTTTGCAGAGAAAGGCACACAAATGTGATTCTAGTAAAATATACACTGGGTTCTCACGGAATCCCTTAACACACGTAGTTCGCCAGGTTTTCCCCCAACACCAATCCACTCTTCCCCTCCTTTTCTCTCGACTCCCGTCTCCATGGTCCCCACCCCGGATTCCCGTGAAATTTTCCCAATCCAACACTTAATTGAGCAACTGGGATTCCTCACGTGCGGGGTTGATTTTAGTTTGAACACGTGGCTCATTCAAAAAAGCCGGAATATCCTCTTTTTTTCCTTCCCCCTTCTTCATATTGGTTTTATTCAGAGGCGGGCACGAGCCTTAACGTGTATGAATTTCTCTGTCTCTTTGCCAAGGGGTTTGGAGGAAGACAAAAAAGTCGCGTCTCCTCCTTTTTCACTCAGTCAGCTATCGTTTTGGAGAGACGGAATAAATAATTAAGATTATAATTTGTTTTATGCGCGATATAGAAGTGCGAGTAAGCGCAAACGCGACGTGGTTGCCCGTCAAATATATCTGTGGCTTCAACTACTGGGGGAAGCACGCCACCGCCACTCCGTTGTAGTAAGGCGATTTTGGCGACTCAAAACACTGCACACCCGAGAGAGCAAATCACGATTTCCTTCTGCGTAAAGATTGTCAATTTCAGCGCAGAACATGAATAAGCTGTACATTGGAAACGTGAGCGAAGAGGCGAGTGCCGAGGACTTGGAAACTATCTTTGAGCAGTGGAAGATTCCGCACAGTAGTCCGTTTCTCGTCAAAACTGGTTATGCGTTTGTGGATTGCCCCGATGAAAAGATTGCAATGATGGCCATCGACATTCTTTCAGGTGAGACAATAAAAAAGGCGTTCGAGCGGTGCTTTAATTGCGGAAATGGCTACGGTTTTTCTTTAACCTCTTTTAGATGGATGCATACATCCAAGCTTGTCTCCTTGCCTCTCACTTGGCCCCTGACACCGTAGAAGAATCGTCCATGCCTTTGATAAATTCAAAGTGTGAACACGAATTTAATCTAGTACAAAAACGTTTGAAGAAACTTGTTACAGAGTGGATGAAGGAAAATAACGCCTATCCATTGTAGCGTCGTTCAGAGCAATGGGGCGCACAGGCAGTGGCCGCTCATTGTAGGCTTGTGTGTGTGTAACATGGATCACTTCGATTAAATGAACTAAATGTAACTCTGTTGTATTGTTACTTTTGTTGCGGCGGTTGAGCTTGCACGCTCTTCGGGGAGTAACAAAGTCGCAATGGAAGTATGGCCTAACTTGTTAAATTATAGCACACAGTGCATGTGCCTTATGCTGACACACCAGGTGGCTTAATTGTGTATTGGTTAAATGTAGGCCAACGAAATGAAAGACTAATGCCAAACTACTTTTTCTTTATAATTTAGAAACGACAACAAATGTACGAAATGCGGGAGAAAAATTGGCGTTAAGCAGGCGACAGTTGAAATAAAAATTACAATATTACTAAATATCCTCGTATTGAGCTCATGTGTCGTATACTTGTCACGTATACCATATTTAACCTTTTAGAATAGACATTCACGTTGGCTGAAACTTAGTGAAAATAAAGTAATTTGAATGGTCATACAATTGTGCCACCGATTGAAATGAAAGTAATTTCGTGCAAGGCCTTTTTGGTCATAAACTATAGTTGAGGCCTACTTTTGGCTGCCTGGGAGAACAGTTGAAGAGTACTAAACTAATTGTTTACTAAAATTGCATTTATTCTCCTCACTATAGGTAAAGTTGAACTACATGGAAAACTCCTAGAAGTGGAGCACTCGGTCCCTAAACGTCAAAGGTAAAGTCTGATTATAAACTCCTGTATTGTCCAACTGGTCCATTTACGCTATAAGGGGCTGCTGCGGTCCTCTGCCAAATTGTACATATCTCCATGACCCTTTTCTGGAAACATGTTATTTTTGTACCGTTATTTGATTGAAGTCGTCTGTGTCTTGGAATCAGTGGGTTTGGGGCGTCAGCAGGAAGTGAAGGGACAGAATGTCTGTTCATTTGGGGAAAGCAGAAATGCATAGGCTGTATGGGTGTAGAGGTCGAATTATAAGGGCATGAGGGATCTCATACCGTCACGCCTGTGGCGACCTAAAATATGCCTTTTAATTTTTTTCAATAATAATGTACCTTATTTTAGACACGATACCTATCTGTGGAAGTTGTTAGCCTGTATAGTGCAAATCTCCAAGTGTTTTACACTATTCTATGCAGCAATAGCATACTGGGCCTGCTTAAGTGTGTGTACATATATGCGTGTGTGTAAAGGCTTGTGGTGGGGCGTAGGCCCCTCTGAAGTCGTCCAATTGAGAAGGATCTGCCCGTGATTCTCCCTGGCTGCCCCACGCTTCTGTTCGAATCTACTCGCTCATTGTGGTGGTGCACGAGATGGACTCCCAAACGCGATTGGAATGGGCGGTTTAGGGCCTAGTCACGGAAAAACCCCGGTCTGCGAAAGACCATGTAGCTCCGTGTAGGCTACAGTCAACATGATTAAACTATGCTGAGTTATAGCATTTAGTCTGAGGCGATATTGATCCTCATTTACGTGGAAGAGGGACAAAAAAATGCAACAATTTGGCGTGGTGTGTAGGATTTTCCGCCACATGGAACAATTTGTTCATTAATAAACATTTCTTGGATTTTAATTGCTATCATTGAAATTAGTACTTATTGTGAGGATTTGGAGGAAGAGGATTTAGAGCCAAAATGCACTTTAATGTGTTAGAAATAAATAGGCATTTTAATTATTTAAATAATTTGGGCTAAAAGCAGTGCATAAAGGTAGGCTACTGCTATGTTTGTAAGGAATTAGAATCAAGCATGTGATCACCACGTTTAAAAATGTATATTGAAGTGAAGTTTAACAGAATTATGATTTGTATAATTGCCGATAACACCATTTAGGCCTACTAAATCGAATAATCGGTTTTATTGACGTTCTGCACAAAATGGCGTGAACATATTTAAAATATAAAATTATTATAGTGGACATTTATTTGCATGCATTGAATTGTCGAAGTTAGGGCCTAAATGAATTTACGCCAGGGCTTCCCCTGAATGCATTTACTGTTTTTAGCTCGCTCATTATTGGGATGGAATCATGAACCTATAAAAAAAAAAAAAGACTAATCACTGCTTATTTTGCTGACCTTTCCCCTCCAAAAGTGATGCTAGTTATTTTTGGCTAAATGATTAGTCTTTGACATCAGTAGGTTTACATACACTGGCGATTGTAGTGGTAGGCCTTTATAGTGACGTGTAAGCCTGGCGCTTGTTGGCCTCCACCTATGAAAAAAGATTAAGTCCCCCTTTTGCCACAGGAAAGGTTATAGGAGCGACTGGGAACAGTATCCTGCCCATTACACACACACACACACACACACACACACACACACACACTGGGGCCCCTCTGCATTCCAGCCCGCTGAGTGTCAGCTGGAGGCTCGGCCAATCACCACGACTTAACCTTTGAACTGGTGGGGAGGGGGAAGTGCGCGCAAGGAGGCCGAGGCTCCCAGAGTCCTCCACAGGGTTCTAGGGTGGGACCATAGACATTAAAACCAGTAGATAGTGATAGCTCTGACGTCATCCACTTATTCCTATGGAGAACTCCCAATGGCTCATGAAGCCGGAAGTATTTGAATTTGAAGCGCGCCATATTGCTGAATGGCACCCAAAAATCTTTACGGATCATGGTGAAAGTGGCCGTAACTGGCAAAGGATCATGGTCAATGTAGTCATTTTCATCCTGCCTGAGAAAGTCAACCTTAATGTCTAAGGCAGGGGTATTCAAGTCTTGCCCTACAAGTTCCAGAGCCTGATGGTTTTCTGTTCTACCTGATAATTAATTGCACCCACCTGGTGTCCCAGGTCTAAATCAGTCCCTGATTAGAGCGGAACAATGGGGGAGAGAGCAGTGGAACTGGCTTCGAGGTCCAGAGTTGAGTTTGAGGGGTCTATGGCATGAGAGCACGAGCCTCATCGTAGCCTGCCGGCCCGTGATTGTTCTGTCAGCACTTGGGATGTTTCCCATTTATAAATCAGACCCGTCCTGAAATTCTGCGCACGAACAAGTATTAAAACTCCACCTGAAAAACATCCGTCATTCACCTTTTATGGTGACAACGCCCTAATTTCTGTATACTTTGGAAGTATTGGAATTAGGCAAAGGCAGTTTTCTAAAGAAAATGGCAATGGCGAACTTGATCAAATGTCTTTGGTGGTTTGATGGCAGAATGTTACACTTTTGCAGTGACATTTGCTGTAGGCCTAGGCTACCTGACAGACGACAAGTTTCTGAAAGACACACACCATTGCAAATTGCTGTGGACCTGTAAACGGATTGTTTGTTAATGTTTTGTATTTCCTTTTATTTAACCTATATGCTTCTCTGCCCGCGACTTCTGAAACAATGTCTACTTAGTGGTAGCCATACGCTACCAATGGCACATGAAGCCGGAAGTATTTGAATTTGAAGCGCGCTATATTGCTGAATGCACCAAAAGATGAACTGTCTGTTCACCTGTTAAATTCTACTGTTTGTAGTAAACCACGCTCCCTATCTTATTCATAGCGCAAAATGCTTGAAAAAGTACTTGAAATAATAGACTGTCAAATGGGCCCAATTAATTTGTTGTAGGATACTTTGGGAATATGAACCCATCAAGGCCAGAAAAGGTGAGGAATTTATTCTGCAAAGGTTATGAAAATATATATTATGTTTACAAAGAAAATATTGCCTACGCAAGAAATTTAAAATTACAGTATTGAGATGTACAGAAGCAGCCTATAATCGTCTGTTCTTCCGTTAAACTGCGCTCCGGACGGACGGCATAAAGCAAATGACTTCAAATAGTTTACTTATTTACTACTGTGAAGGGTGTCCTATTAAACGAGAGATGGGAAGAATGGTATTCTAACTTGTAGGCCTGTAGGGTACCTCGTGAGTATGAAACATCACAGAAAAGGTGAGGAATTTATTCTGCAATAATCATAGAAATTATATAATTAATATAGCCTAGGAAAATAGATGCATATTTCTAATTATTTTAGATTGCAAATATAAATGAAATTGATGTTCTCTCTTCTCACTAACGGCAAACGATTGCATCTTGTTATTAACCTGTTATTTGTTATGAACAAACGTGTCCATCTTATCCCCCATTTTAACCAAATACTAGGCTACTTGCCTGCTTGCAATGCAATAGTTCCACCACTAGAAGCTGTGCTTACGCATGGTCTAAAGTTTGCGGGAAGGTAAATGCCAACTTTTGCGTGTGAACTAGCGCACGCATGTTTTGGGTCATATTTTGTACGTACACACGGTTTATAAATGAGGTCCCAGGGCTTTTGGCACTGCTATGACCAGCAGAAATTGTGACTTCACGCTCCAGACCAGACACTGGGGGGTCCTGGTTGGGATGGGCACATCGAGGTGTGCATGTGGCGAGAGGGGTGCAGATTGTTGGGGACGGGTGGGGGCTTTGTATTGGTGCAAGTGTGCCATTTGCCTTAGTCCTACTCAAACGACATTTTCCATATTCATTGGTTAATCTTTGGCCTATGTACTGTAATCACTGTAGCTTGATCATGTGGGGTTACAAGAGTTGAAAATGTAATAATGCAAGAAGTTAAGGTTATTCTTGGGCCAGCGGCCTGCCAGAGAACTACTTATAGTTCGCTCACTAATTACTTTTATTTCATATTGATGTTTAACTCTCATGCCTTATTATCTGCACTAGTGAGTGGTTGTAGGACACACATAGACCCCTATAACATTTTACACTGTGACCTGATTTTAAAGCTATATTCATTAGTTTATGAGTAAAAAAAAGTATTCCCATCCCCATCTGTTTATAAAATGAAAATGGCATGATTTGAGAGGTGGCCCGTGTGTGTCGGGTCGATCAGGCAGGTCGAGGGGCGAGTAGGAAGCTGCTGTGTAAGTGTTCACTTGATGAATCAGTGTTACTGAATGTCAGTAATGATCCACCAAAATTCCACAACTCGTAGCAGTCTGACTTGTGAAGATGGTACAACTTGAATCTAGTTTAGTATTAGTCTTGGACCATTTTTATATATTTTTTTTATACCAGAACAAATCTGAAGTTGTATTGACACAGTAACTTTCTCACACGTTCTAAAACCGCAGATGTAGATAAAATATTACCAATATTCTCATCAAATGGCGAGGGGGTAGGTCATGAAATCCTAACCATCGTCATTTAAACAAAAAATACACCCATTGCTCTATTCCTTTAATTAACAGACAAAAAAAATCCCAAGTCATAAAAGCAAAGCCCACTTCCATGGCCATTCTAACCCAGTAACTGTGGCTTTGTGAGGAGTAGTAGTTCCCAGCTCTTATTAAATAATTTGGGGTCAGGGGGTCACTGTGGGGCCCATCCTGCAAAGAAGGGATTTTGGACGGAAGCTCGGGGGTGCCCGAAATTCTCTATGTCCCCTTGTCCCATCTAGCTAGCGGGACTAGAGGTCCCTAAACTCGCTCATGCTTATCATGGAGCGAGAGACACTGATCGTGTGGACTTTCATGCTAGAGAACCATTGCATACCATGCTGCAGGGAAAGTAACGTTTTTAGCTATTTACGTAAATCATCAACAGATGTCATTTTAAAATGTTCAAATTCTTGCTCAAACCAATTTAGCAAATTTTTTGCTATCAACTTTTGCATTTTTTTGCTGTAGAATGGACACTTTTGTGTAAAGTGGAAGGGCCTATATAAGAGTGCAGCGGAAAGTGAGCAGTTTTGAGTTCAGTCATTCAGAACGCCTGTATACTGAATAGTCAATGAGTGTGGATGGATGGGCGTTGAGCATGGTATTGGATGGATGGATGGGGGGGGGGTGTAGTTACATGGATGAGCATGGTAGTGAGAAACTGGGATGGATGTGGTGCAGTCATGTTGCTCGACATGGGATTTCTCCTATGGGCTATACACACACTACGGCGACACAGGCCCTAGGTCTCAGCTGGGCCATGGTCTGTCGGAGGGAGGCGGGGCTCTTGAATGTGTAGAATGTTGAGTTTAAAAGTAAATAAGGTTTCATCACATGACAACTCGGCCCTCACGGTCCCCCCACCCCTCCATGTTTCTGTCAGTGGACTTTGTGTCCATGGCAACGGGAGCCCCTCCCCCACAGGGCAGAGAGGGCCCTTGTTACCCCCCTTTTCCAAAATCAAAGGCTGGGACTGGGGAATGCACGTCCCCATACGCCGGCTGGCTCCGTCTGTGTGTGGAGCTATAGGTTAATCTGGCTGGAAGTGCTTGGCGCATTTGTACATTTTGCACAGTTCCCACTGCAATGCAGAGCAACGCACACACGGAAAAAGGGGGCCGGATCAGCCAGGAAAGGCACAGTAGACCGGAAAGGGCCAGAATTTCTCTCGGAAGCTTGTTGGGATTATTATTATTTTATTTTTTTCCAATTCGCCATTTAGAATGTATTATCTTTATGGTCCAAATAAATGAATATAATTCATTTGAGGCCCTGTTGGCGTGACCATGCTGAAAGGTCCTCCAGATTGAGTGTGTGTGTTAAAGAATATGTAAATGTTTTTGTTGTATGGTATGTAGGGGGTGGAAATAAATACATTAATAATAACGGTAAATGGCATTGAACTTTCCCCTACTAGGTTTTCACTGTGGCCTAGTCCTGCATGTACAGTTGAAGTCGGAAGTGTACATGCACCTTAGCCAAATACATTTAAACTCAGTTTTTCACAATTCCTGACATTTAATCCTAGTAAAAATTCCCTGTCTTAGGTCAGTTAGGATCACCACTTTATTTTAAGAATGTGAAATGTCAGAATAATAGTAGAGAATGATTTATTTCAGCTTTTATTTCTTTCATCACATTCCCAGTGGGTCAGAAGTTTACATACACTCAATTAGTATTTGGTAGGATTGCCTTTAAATTGTTTAACTTGGGTCAAACGTTTCGGGTAGCCTTCCACAAGCTTCCCACAATAAGTTGGGTGAATGTTGGCCCATTCCTCCTGACAGAGCTGGTGTAACTGAGTCAGGTTTGTAGGCCTCCTTGCTCGCACACGCTTTTTTAGTTCTGCCCACACATTTTCTATAGGATTGAGGACAGGGCTTTGTGATGGCCACTCGAATACCTTGACTTTGTTGTTCTTAAGCCATTTTGCCACAACTTTGGAAGTATGCTTGGGGTCATTATCCATTTGGAAGACCCATTTGCGACCAAGCTTTAACTTCCTGACTGATGTCTTGAGATGTTGCTTCAATATATCCACATAATTGTCCTTCCTCATGATGCCATCTATTTTCTGAAGTGCACCAGTCCCTCCTGCAGCAAAGCACCCCCACAGCATGATGCTGCCACCCCCGTGCTTCACGGTTGGGATGGTGTTCTTCGGCTTGCAAGCATCCCCCTTTCTCCTCCAAACATAACGATGGTCATTAAGGCCAAACAGTTCTATTTTTGTTTCATCAGACCAGAGGACATTTCTCAAAAAAGAACGATCTTTGTCCCCATGTGCAGTTGCAAACCGTAGTCTGGCTTTTTTATGGCGGTTTTGGAGCAGTGGCTTCTTCCTTGCTGAGCGGCCTTTCAGGTTATGTCGATATAGGACTTGTTTTACTGTGGATATAGATACTTTTGTACCTGTTTCCTCCAGCATCTTCACAAGGTCCTTTTGCTGCTGTTCTGGGATTGATTTGCACTTTTCGCACCAAAGTATGTTCATCTCTAGGAGACGGAACGCGTCTCCTTCCTGAGCGGTATGACGGCTGCATGGTCCCATGGTGTTTATACTTGCATATTATTGTTTGTACAGATGAACATGGTACCTTCAGGCATTTGGAAATTGCTCCCAAGGATGAACCAGACTTGTGGAGGTCTATTTGGCTTTTCTTTTGATTTTCCCATGATGTCAAGCAAAGAGGCACTGTGTTTGAAGGTAGGCTTTGAAATACATCCACAGGGACACCTCCAATTGACTCAAATGATGTCAATTAGCCTATCAGAAGCTTCTAAAGCCATGACATCATTTTCTGGAATTTTCCAAGCTGTTTAAAGGCACAGTCAACTTAGTGTATGTAAACTTCTGACCCACTGGAATTGTGATACAGTGAATTATAAGTAAACAATTGTTGGAAAAATTACTTGTCATGCACAAAGATGTCCTAACCGACTTGCCAAAAGTATAGTTTGTTAACAAGACATTTGTGTAGTGGTTGAAAAACAGGTTTTAATGACTCCAACCTAAGTGTATGTAAACTTCCGACTTCAACTGTATGTAAGCCCACAAACCTTCTAGCCTGCAGATGTGGATTTCTGTGTATCACATTTTTAAGTATGCTCCAATGTAAAACGTGTTTACTCTGGGTCATGTGTACATAATGAACAGTGTGAGCTGGGCCCGTGTGGGTGGTGGGCTGAGAAACATATTTAAGGCTACCAACCAGCCTTTTCATAAAAACGAACACTTGACTAATTCGTTGACTTGCATAGTTTAAAATGGTTGAGTAGGAAAGCATGTTTTCAATTTGAACACAATCGTATTTCGATTGTATAGTCTATTGGACTTCTCTACTCTTAAACTTTAAGTCAGTGAAGAACAGGAGGGTGATATGCACACCCTGAACTTGAGAAATAAATAATGCTAATGAAGAATTGAGAGGCACACGGAATATTACTGCTCCACAAAGCTTTAGTCCTGACCCACAAAATACAATGTTAACAATGTCATTTTTGTCAGGTGTCAAAGGGTCTTTTGACATTTCATGTTAACAACGCTGAAGTCTTAATTACCAGGTCAAACCTGTGCTTTTAGCCAATTATATGGATTTTTTTTTTCTGGTCCTAGTGGAAGGAGTTCGTTGTGTTTTGTGGTGTAGCTTATGTCTTGTCAAGATGTCTGTGGGAGAAGTTTCCAGTAAGATTGTAGCGGTTAGGAGTGTTTTGTGGGTGTGGAACTGAGTAGGGGTCACAGTTTGCGCTGGAACTCCCAGCTGCATGTACACAGTGTTCCTTTAGTGCGTGTGAGAACAGGTGTTGGACTTTAGAACAGCCTGGACACTTTTCCCACGTTTATATTATCTCCCTGGTCTAAACTATCACTTTTTTTATTAAACATGTCACAATTACAATTTACATTGTACATTTTAGTCATTTAGCAGACACTTATCCAGAGCGACTTACAGTAGTGAGTGCATACTTTTTTCCAATACTGATTCCCCGTGGGAATCGAACCCACAACCCTGGCGTTGCATGCGCCATGCTCTACCAACTGAGCCACACGGGACCCGTCTGGAAGTGTGTATATCCACAACTCCAACCAAGCATCTTTATGACCTCTAAAGTATTTGGGTCCTTGGTGTTAACAATGTTTTCATTGTGGAACCAAAAGTTTGAAAAACAGGGCATTCTGAATACTGAACCAGAGTTGTACAGTAATTTGTAGGATAGTCTGTTCTGCACTGCTGTGCTCCTGTTGACTGCGATGTGAGCGCTCCTTCCGTTCTGAATCCCCGTCTGTTCTCTCTGCTCTGACACAGCTAGTGGAGGTTCCCTCTTTCCTGGGCTTGGCATCCCTCCCTTTTCTGCGCTCCTTCCCTCCCTCTCCTCCTCTACGCTCTCCTCTGTCTTCTTCCTTTCTGTCCGTCCTTCTCCCATCCACCTTTCTCTCTCCTTTCTGCTCCATGCCATTCCTCCCCTCCTTTGTCTCTTCCTTTTTCCTTCACCCTCTCCTCTCCCTACCTCTCATTGCCATGCACTCCTCTCTCCCTACCTCTCCTTGCCATGCACTCCTCTCTCCCTCTCCTCTCTCCCTCTCCTCTCCCTACCTCTCCTTGCCATGCACTCCTCTCTCCCTCTCCCTCTCCTCTCCTTGCCATGCACTCCTCTCTCCCTCTCCTCTCCTTGCCATGCACTCCTCTCTCCCTCTCCTCTCCTTGACATGCACTCCTCTCTCCCTCTCCTTGACATGCACTCCTCTCTCCCTCTCCTTGCCATGCACTCCTCTCTCCCTCTCCTCTCCTTGCCATGAACTCCTCTCTCCCTCTCCTTGCCATGCACTCCTCTCTCCCTCTCCTCTCCTTGCCATGCACTCCTCTCTCCCTCTCCTCTCCTTGCCATGCACTCCTCTCTCCCTCTCCTCTCCTTGCCATGCACTCCTCTCTCCCTCTCCTCTCCTTGCCATGCACTCCTCTCTCCCTCCCGATGCTTCTCATTATCAGCTGGTTTGAACAGTTTCTCCACACGGTCAAGCTACCAGACCAACAATGCAACAGCCTCTCACCTTCCTCCTCTCCCATCCATTCATCCCTCCTCCGGTGCAGACCCGCTGGGCTTGGGAGTGGTATTAAAACATTAGTCATGTCCACAGCTTGTGCACCTCTCCTCTCTTAGAGCACAGAATGATTTGAAGGAGGCACCTACTAGCTTGCTGGTGTTTTTAATTTTGTATTTAAAAAAAAAAAGGGTCAATTTGTCCTTTAGCCCAACCAACCCCTGACGCTGACTGACTCTCCCCTCTCTACCCCTCTCTTTCCTGTAGGAGCTGTAAGCTGCAGATCAGGAACATCCCGCCTCATCTGCAGTGGGAGGTAAGTGTTAATTGGTAAAGCTTTGGATCTATCGATCGATACTGGGTCCTTTTCAATGGGAACAAACATTTAAAAAATGCTTTGAAACAGGAAGTGAAAGTAAGCCTTTTTATTGGGTGTAAAGGAGTCCACTGAAGAAGTTCGTTGCCATCTTTGCGTCCTGTTTTGGATCCACTCATTAGTTCTTTAGAACAGAGGCTGATATTCCAGGTCGCCATTTTCTTCTGGCTGTCTCGTTATGGTACTTTTACAGTTAGGCTTGCGCCTCAAATGGCACCCTATTTTTATAGTGCACTACTTTTAACCAGGGCCCATAGGGTGCCATTTGGTACTTAGTTTACCTTTTTTGTAGTACAGGTAGTAATTTAGCAGTGGATTTTGTCGTACTATTTTGGCCAGAACTCGATAAGGAGGTAAGTGAGTACTAGCATAAAGCAAGCATAGGACAGTCTTTTTAAAGCTATTGTTGGTGGTTTTATTATTTTATTTAACTAGGCAAACATTATTGGGCACAGAATGGTAATGGCAGTATCAGAATAAAGGTGATGAGCATATTTCAAATGTGCCTACATTAACTCATCTGTTTCATTGCTGCAGACTTGTTGGTAGTCGTGCTCATGCCGTGTGTGTAATCAATGGAACTGTGATAATCGGTGTAACGCCAGAGGATTGCCTTTTAGGCGAGTGACCTAGTGAACTACAGGTGTACAATAAGGTGTATTGTGCAACATGAGTGTGACACACAAATGGTGTGTGTGCGTGCCCCCGGCCTGAGAGAGATCACACACCTCGCTCATGCAGACATGGTCACATCTCTTGTTATTTCTACACACCATCTACTCCCATTCATTCTCAATGTATCAATTGGATATTGACCTGCAGTAGTGCCTTCAGAAATTGGATTTATAGTAGCTGTGAATTGTCCAGTTTGCCTGGTGAGAAGCAGACGCATTCTTAGTAGGCTTGGGAGATAAACCGTATACCAGGGTATTTCGAAATACAGATGGTATAATTTTCCCCGTAGCAGGGGTGCGTGCTATGCATTAGGTTTGCTAACTTGCTAGCTAAGTGCCTAGATGTCAAGATCAAGCTTCTTGGTTACAGCAGAGACATTCAATCCCCTCCTGTATCAAGATCCTTGGTGTCTAAATTGTTTTGTGCGTCAAAAACAGTGTACCAAAAACATTTTTTGGTTTAAAAAATTTTTATAGCGCCCCTTGTGTGCACTTCTGGTAATACAGTATACCCCAGTATGGTACGAACAGTATGACAATCTGGATAACGCCCAACCCTAAAGCTTCGTGAGTCATCGCCGGTATTGCCACAGGTTGCTCATTTAGTTCCACTTGTCTGTAAAAAATGTTATCATTGATCCTTTCTGCTCGCAATCTAAATAAGAGAATGGAGTGGGTCTGTATCACAGGAAACCTCTATAATAAATAATATAATATGCCATTTAGCAGACGCTTTTATCCAAAGCGACTTAGTCATGCGTGCATACATTTTTTAGTTTTTGTGTATGGGTGGTCCCGGGGATCGAACCCACTACCTTGGCGTTACAAGCGCCGTGCTCTACCAGCTGAGCTACAGAGGACTACTTTAGCAAAGGGCTGTTTCATGTCTCATTTTGACCAAATAGAATACAGTTAACGGACAACGTTTTCTCTTCCATTCTAAACTCGTAGTGCATAGGCCAAAGTATGACTGATTCGAGTTTCTCCACCTTTGACCAAACTGTTCTAAATGGACACAAAGCATTTTACACTGGTGGTCTTGTGCTGTGTAAATGGGTGGTAGCATATAGCATTTTGACCAGGGTTTGAATGGGGGAGGGAGGGGGCACTGAACACAGAAGTCTTTGACGTAAAGGAGACCTTGTATCTTATCAGGGAGATAACATGGTGCCTCAGCACACAGCCATGCAGGCAGAGAGCTGGCTTGTTCGCTAGGCTAACTCGCAGTGGGTGAGTGGGCCTGCTCTATGTTGCCTCCATGTGCTATGGACAGACACTCACAGAATGTGTAGCATTACTCCTGTCCCACCCCTCCCCCAACCCAACCACCGCTTCCTGCAGGAATGCACTCCACCCTTTCCTGAATGGCCTGGATTCTCATTGGCTGAGCCCTGGAGACGGGCAGACGTGGCAGCCAGTGAACATGGAGCTGCTCCTCGCCACAAGGAATGTCTGATCAGTGCTGGGAACAGCCAATGGGAGGGCTTTGAGATGGTTCAGGGGCGGGAGGGAAGGGGATTGGTGGGTTGGGAGAAAGAGGGCTGGGAGGGAAGCTGATTGGTCAGAAATGGGGGTTGAGTGCTCGTGGGTGTGGCTTTCAGTAAGCCTGGGCATGTTTGTAGGTCCTCTGCCTGTAGGTTGCGTTTGGACTCCTGTCCCTCGCTCTCTCTCCCACCTTCTCACCCCCCCCCCCCCCCCCCCCCCCCCCCCCCCGACTCTTTCTCTAAGGAGTGAATAAAGATCAGTTCAGCTTGATAATGTGGGAAAATTAAATTTAATGAACACAATTTTGAAAGATCTCTCTCCTGTTCAACAATGTAATTGAATGGTGTGATTCACCAGTAGGAAGACCTTACGTATCACGCGTCTCAGGAGGAGTGCTGATCTAAGATCATGTCCCCTCTGTCCATGTCATCACATTCATTCTGATCTAAAAGGCAGATTTTTATTTTGTTTGTCATTTAGCTGGCGCTCTTATCCAGAGCGACTTACATGAGCAATTAGGGTTAAGTGCCTTGCTCAAGGGCACATCGACAGATTTTTCACCTAGTTGGCTCGGGGATTAGAACCAGCGACCTTTCGGTTACTGGCACAACGCTCTTAACCATTAAGCTACCTGCCGCCCTGCTAGAAATTATCCTAGATCAGCACTTCTACTCCGAGATGCTTGATACATACAGCCTGGTTGATGGGTGGTATTGAAGGGCCAGTTAGTTGGGTCACAGGGCTGATTACAACTTAGGGTATATCACAAATCTAGCTAGATGTACTCAGGCTTATCTGAAATGAGCTAGCTTCAGTTAGCTTCACATTCCAGCTCAGGCTTCATCAATGTTACGAAGGTAGATATTGATCGCGCACCCGCCGCTTACTGGAGCCTGCTCGAGCCGGGCTTGCAACTGCGCGTTAATGTTGCACATGGCTAGTCAAACGCTGAACTCTTCATTGAGAATATGTTGAAACATCAATCCATGGGCGTGTCAGTGCCATGTCTTCAACTCACAGCTCAAACACTTCATTCAGGATAACTGGAGTTTAACCCTGAGTTGGCCTGCCACGGAGCAGGTTAGTTCTGGAGGATTCGTTGCCATAGAAATTTACCTGGCTAAAAGGTGAGCCACTTTGATGGTACCGGTTATCCTGAGTTGAACTCGGTTACCTCACTAATTCCACAAACCAGATTCGTAGTATAGGGCTCTGGCGTAATCCACATACTGATGAATATGTTAACTTTAAGTGGCTTAACTGTAAATTCTTCTTATTGTGATGGGCCCATGGGCTTGTCATTGGGATGTGGCCATGGTGTGTTAGGGTGAAGTTGCCCATAGACTCTTCGGTCAGTTTTGCATTTCACCTCACTAATAGTTAAGGTTAGGATTGGGGGGAGGATAATCTGTTCCTGATCACCTGCAGGGTGTTGACAAACGTTGGCGATTCAACATGTATAATCTTACAGAATTGAACTGAAATTGCTCTGCTGTTTCCTGTTTGACACTGAAATATACGGCCCTGTGATAGACTAGCGTCTTGTCCAGGGTCCTGTCCTGTCTACTGGGACATCAAGCTGCCTCATGCTACAGAAACAGGAGATGGACACCTGTCCTATGGGCTGTTCTGGCTCGGACAAGGCTTACTTTTTATTTTATTTATTTATTTCACCTTTATTTAACCAGGTAAGCCAGTTGAGAACAAGTTCTAATTTACAACTGCGACCTGGCCAAGATAAAGCAAAGCAGTGCGATTTTAAAAACAACAAACACAGTTACATATGGAATGAACAAAACATACAGTCAATAACATAATAGAAAATCTATATACAGTATGTGCAAATATAGTAAGTTATGGAGGTAAAGCAATAAATAGGCCATAGTGCAAAATAATTACAATTTAGTATTAACACTGGAGTGATAGATGTGCAGAAGATGATATGCAAATAGTGATACTGGGGTGCAAAATAAATAATGTAAATAACAATATGGGGATGAGGTAGTTGGGTGGGCTAATTACAGATGGGCTGTGTACAGGTGCAGTGATCAGTAAGCTGCTCTGACAACTGATGCTTAAAGATAGTGAGGGAGATAAGTGTCTCCAGCTTCAGAGATTCTTGCAGTTCGTTCCAGTCATTTGCAGCAGAGAACTAGAAGGAATGGCGGCCAAAGGAGGTGTTGGCTTTTACTTACTGAACTGTACTCACAAGCCAGTTTGGGTCTCCATGATAGTGAGACACCAATATCTTTTTCACACTAACTCCTCTGGTCTGGTTCTAATCACACACTCTCCCCTGTGGTTCTGACTCAGGTTCTGGATGGCATGTTGGCCCAGTATGGCACAGTGGAGAACTGCGAGCAAGGTACGCGTGCACATACAGGTGTATATACATACACACACTCCTTAGCATTTGTTTCTTCTGTATCTGCTGTTTCTAGTAGGTATTTGTTCAAGTCTGTGACTGTTCAGTTGAAGTGCATGTTGAGTGTATAAACTTGTATTGCCCTATGTGCGTTTGTGGGTGTTAAGTCTATGCTCTTGCTCTCATGCGCTCGCTCGCGCTCTCTCTCTCTCTTCACAGTAAATACAGACACAGACACCGCAGTGGTCAACGTCCGATACGGTGCCAAGGACCAGGCCAGACAGTAAGCACACACACCTTTTCTTAGTTTAAGACTGCTCTTGCAGAATGCAGAGAGTAAATTTGCCTGAGTGGTTTGCACTCTTTCCCCACGCTGCATTTGTATTGGTGCTATTTGAATTGATCCCCTTTGATTTGTTAGTGCAGCAGACTCCTCTTCACCCTCTAAAGCGGTTTCTTCTAAGTTGCTGCTATAGGATTAACACACTGGCTGAGAGACGCTAGCTCACTGCTGCCCTCTGGCTGAGAGACGCTAGCTCACTGCTGCCCTCTGGCTGAGAGACGCTAGCTCACTGCTGCCCTCTGGCTGAGAGACGCTAGCTCACTGCTGCCCTCTGGCTGAGAGACGCTAGCTCACTGCTGCCCTCTGGCTGAGAGACGCTAGCTCACTGCTGCCCTCTGGCTGAGAGACGCTAGCTCACTGCTGCCCTCTGGTGCGTGTGTGGAGCGCCGGCCTTTCCTGATAAAGTGGGCGTGGACGGTGTATAAGAATGAATGGGATCCTTTTAGAGCAGTTCACAGAACAGTCAGTCCTGGCCTTGAAGAGCAACAGGGTTTTGTTCCAGCCCTGCACTAATACACACGATTCTTCTAATGCTTTTATCATCAAGGTCTTGTTTCAGTAGTGAGAGAGAAAATAAAATCGTAAGGGACCTTGCATCAGTAGCCTATCTAGCGTGGCCAAGCAAGTTCCTCCTGTGACTGACAGCGTTATCTTATCAGTGCCGTGACCGTAGCTATGTTTCTATTAACTTGGACAAGTGCTATTTTTGTCAAAATGTAGAACGTGCGCATAGAAAATAGATGCAACAATCGCCTACAGCGGTGCGTTTCCATTTAACTATCTTGTGTTGATAAACACAGCTGGATGTAATGACGTCACACCTAAAAACGCAAAAACCAGTGGTTGAAGTTGAATTGCTCACTAATAAATTGGCGACACCCTGTATGCCCTTCCACCTATCTGTTTAATGTCTCCGGTAGGCTGTGAAAGCCAACATGGATAGAATGCAAGAATTGACTAATATTTGCCATAATTCTAATGTACCAAAATATCGCCACGGTCTGTGCTGTTGTGAAATGTGCACTCCTATAGATCTGAAATAATTGGATGGTGAAACTTGCATCCAGCCAACCAGAAAAGCAAGACTAAGCAATTCAGGCGTTCTTGAAAGTCAGGACTATCCTTGAACTGCAAATAAACATTTTGATATTTTTGAAAAAAACATTTTGCAAGCAGTAGACATTTACAATTAAAATGGCTGCGCCCCACGGGCGGTGAATCATTGGATCTTATTAATTTGATTCAATGCAATTCAATCCGAGGACTGCAACCATTAGAAATACAATTTTATTTATGCCTAATAAGCCATTGTCAACTTCCTGTCTGGTTATTTTGATCAGTTTACATAGGCTATGGATTTCAGACAGCCCCAGTTGCATTTGCAAACAAATGTTTCTATGACATCACGTGCCCCACTTATCTTCAAAATGATTGGGCAATCATTTATTTGAAAAGCACAGTTTCCATCATTTGTCGCAATAATGAATGTTCGACAAAATAAAAATCCATCCCAACGGAAAAAAATGTTGCCTTTTATAAAATGTATACTCTTTCTGCAGTTTCCATTACACATGTCGCAATGTTTTGCGACATTGCTTTTTTCACATAAACCTGGGTCAATGGAAACCTGCCTAGTGACTGACTGCCTTTTCTCTTTGTGTGGTTGCCAGGGCGATGGAGAAGCTGAATGGCTTCCTGATGGAGAACTTTGCCCTGAAGGTGTCGTACATCCCCGACGAGACGGCGGCGGCTGCTGCCACCCCGCCCCTGGGAGGGGGTAAAAGGGTCTCGGTCCCCCGTGGCCCTACCCGCTCGGGTTCCCCAGGCCTGGGGGCGCGCCCCAAACTGCAGTCGGACGTCCCTTTGCGCATACTCGTCCCCACACAGTTTGTAGGAGCCATCATCGGCAAGGAGGGAGCCACGATTCGCAATGTCACCAAACAGACACACTCAAAGTAGGACTACTTCCCTGATTCATGTACACATTCATGTACACAACATTCTGATGGGGTGCATTCAGCAGGACGCAACGTTCAGATAGAAATGCAGCATGAACAACAAACACCCCTCTATTCCATGTAGAATAAGGAATCATATTGTCTCTTTATGACATTTCTATCTGCAATGTTTGGCTATTGAACATGGCCCTGATTTATAACCATAAATATCAATACATTTTATGAGCCTTGGCTTGGCAATATAAAGCTCACTCCCACAGAAGAAATTACTCACTTAGCAAAAGTGAATTTTGGCTCCAGCTATTGATGTGACCCTCTGAAGGCATCTCAAGTTGAAAAACGATGAACTTTGACCGTTGCACCCATCCTTAGTGATTCTGTGTTTTCTGTGGGATTGAGCCAGTAGGAAGGGGGGACACGGGGATTGAACCCTGGTCTCCGGTGGGGAGTAGTATGGGACCAGCCGGTAGTGTAACCGCTAAACGACGGGCTGTTTAGAGGGTGACAAAAACAAAGACTCTTCCCTTCTAACCATCTCTCTCTTGCCCCTCTCCAGGATCGACATCCACAGGAAGGAGAATGCTGGAGCGGCAGAGAAGCCCATCACGGTCCACTCCACCCCAGAGGGCTGCTCCAACGCCTGCAGAACCATCATGGAGATCATGCAGAAGGAGGCCCTCGACACCAAGTTGTGAGTTCAACTGGAGAACGCATACATAGACACACACTTTACCAGCAGGCCTCCCAAACCATGTTGTGAGTTCAACTGCACATGCCCAAACAGTCATGTTAGGATACACAACTTCTTCTATTCTTAATTATTATTCTATAACTTGACCCATTGAGCCGTCGTCTCTCTTTGTTTGTCTGTTTCCTCTTTCTACAGTACTGAGGAGATTCCGCTGAAGATTCTGGCTCACAACAACTTTGTGGGCCGACTGATCGGGAAGGAAGGACGGAACCTAAAAAAGATTGAAGTGGACACAGAGACCAAGATCACCATCTCCCCGTAAGAAGACCAACATCCCCATACGATCACCCATAAACTCATACACACGAGCCAAAGAGTTTTCAAACCCAGATTTCTAACTGGCTAATACTTCTGGGAACGCATCGCGAAACAGACTCAGTCGGGGTTTGGCAAGTCAATGAGAGAAGTGAAAAATGATAGTAGTTAATTTTCTCTAAATCTGAAGGCACAACCTTTATTCGACCTAATGTCTTAAGTAGCTGAACATGTCAACTACAACCTTGTGAAAGTGACAAACTGACACAAATAAAATGTGTCAATAGATGTGTCAATATATCGAAGGAATGCCTTTGATTTGACAGCCTGCACATGCGCAGTTTGGCGCGACTCGACCGTTACTGTGCATGAGCTTGACTGGCTAACATCGCCATGACATCACCAACAAGCGTGATCGGGGATTTCTATTGGAGGAGCAGTTTCTGGAGCTCTTCATCATAGGCTCTTTGCACTTGCCATCAGAATGATTACTGCAAACAAGATGAATGTCTCATAAGACACACACACACACACACACACACACACTAGAAACCGAGGTGGTAACGGATGTCCTCCTCCAGTCTCCAGGACCTAACGCTGTACAACCTTGAGAGGACGATCACAGTGAAGGGTTCCATCGAGGCGTGCTCCCGCGCCGAGGAGGAAGTCATGAAGAAGGTCAGGGAGTCGTATGAGAACGACGTGGCCGCTATGAACGTAGGTCCTTGTTCTAACCCACTGGGGGCATGGCACTCTGTGTTGGTGGATCCAAATAATCTGGAGTAGTGTCCCAAATGCCACCCTACTTCTACTTTTGTGCACTATATTGGGAATAGGGTGTCATTTGGGACTTAACCTGGGGAGATCATGGCTTGTTTAGGCTGTGCAGCTACCCACATAAATGTTTTTTAAATAAATGCACTTTGTATATGAGTGGTTTATCCCGGAGAAATGTTTCTGTTCTTGGTTAATTTTGTCTGGTAGTAAATCTTTCTCTCACTCTATCATCTCTCTCGCTCTCTCTATACCCAGCTCCAGTCTAACCTGATTCCAGGACTCAACCTGAATGCCTTGGGTTTGTTCCCTGGTGGTGCTCCAGGTATGGGCCCCTCCATGGGACACAACGCCCCACCTCCTGGTGCCCAGGGTGGCTACTCCTCATTCGGGGTGAGTGTCTGGACCTTCCCCCTCCTACCTCCCTGGGTCTACTTCACAGTGCCTCTTGGTGATGCTTAAAGATATCCCCCTCCTTACAGAGCAGTTCTGCAAGAAGAAACCTACAACAGACAACCTCCGACTGAGAAGCCATTTTGGATCTTTCAGTGACCCTGTCTGTGTTCCTCTCTCCTTATAGAGCAGCCATTTGGGGGCAGGAAAGTGACTTGGTTTCGTGTTATTCTCTCCTATAGAGCAGTTCCTTCGGGGGCGAAGGGCCATTGTGGGCGTCTGTGCTGTCGGCGAGCAGCCAGCCCCTCTCTGTAAGTCTCCATTCTCACAGTGCTTTGCACGGCTGCTGGCTGCTGGATTGGGTAAAAAGGCAGGGCTTGCCACAGCTAAGCCCCTCCCAGTAACCTATGACCCCCAGGGAGGGCCTAACTCATGTCTGTGTTCATTTCTCTAAAACCTGCTGGGTGGTTGCCACAGTTTCTACTGGGTTTAGTTGGGCCTCAAATCTTCAGCTGAAGAAAGTGCAGCAATTGAACATCTTGGCATGTTTAGAAGGTTACAAATGGTCGCAGATGTTTCTAAAAGGGTACCTTTTCTATTAGACAATTTGATCTGGAACAGCCTCCTGGTGAAAAGGTTTGTGCCCATCTGGAGGCTTGTGAATTTGATCTAGGGTTGGATTACTTTACCCCCAACTGAAGTGTAATGATTTGATGGTGTCCTCTAGATTAAAACCAGCAGCGCTGTCCCAAATGGCACCCTATTCCCTATAGAGTGCACTACTTTTGACCAGAGCCCTATGCGTGCACTAAATGGGGAATAGTAATCCCTCCAGGAACATGCCTCCCTGCCCCTTCATCTAAAAGATCTCACCCACTTCACTTCCCTCTAACACCAGCCATGTGCAGTGAGCCCACGCGGTTTGCTACAGGTCATCTTTAATACAATAATCTGTTGGAATGTGTGTGTGGAAGCGCTGGGGAGTGACTGAGCCGGGCCAAGCATTCTGAAAGGGATTATCTGATGGGTTCAGTTGCTGCAGAGAAATGGAGAACCCTCTGGGAATGCTGTTTACCTGAGCTAAGTGCTGGATGCTACAGATTTTCTCATCTTTCTAGAGTCAGGGTCTCTTATCCCCTGGGTGCGTCCCAATAATCTCTCCTTCCTCACTCGTTCACTACTCCCCACAAATTTAAACGCATTGGATTGGTATTGTCATGGGCAGGAGGGAATTTCCATATACCAGTCTTTATCTTTCAAAACCATGAAGGGAAGTGAACAAGTGCTCAATTGGGGAGAAAAGAGAGCTAATTGGGACATGCTCCACGTTTGGAAGTTGAGGAGATTTTGTTTAGTTGTATTCAATCTCTTCGAATATGTATGTACAGTTCTTTCATGGTTATGCAGTGCTATTGTGGTTCTATATGCTACTGAGGGGATAAAGTTAAATTGGGATAGATTTGACTGGTCTCCCTAGCAGTGTCCCAAATGGCACCCTATTCTCTATATAGTGCACTACTTTTGACCAGGGCTCATATGGTTCTGGTCAAAAGTAGTGTACTAAAGAGGGAATAGGGTACCATTTCGAACTCGAGCCCTGTGAGGCTGCTTCTTCCTGTGTCGCTGCATCAGTTGCTTGGTCGCGGTCAACTGGGCTGCTATCGCTGTTTGCCTGGTGTGGTCTCACTGTGGTCTCCTTACGGTCAGACTGGCTCTGTTGTGGTCTCCTTATGGTTAGACTGGCTCTGTTGTGGTCTCCTTATGGTCAGACTGGCTCTGTTGTGGTCTCCTTATGGTCAGACTGGCTCTGTTGTGGTCTCCTTACGGTCAGACTGGCTCTGTTGTGGTCTCCTTATGGTTAGACTGGCTCTGTTGTGGTCTCCTTATGGTCAGACTGGCTCTGTTGTGGTCTCCTTACGGTCAGACTGGCTCTGTTGTGGTCTCCTTATGGTTAGACTGGCTCTGTTGTGGTCTCCTTACGGTCAGACTGGCTCTGTTGTGGTCTCCTTATGGTCAGACTGGCTCTGTTGTGGTCTCCTTATGGTCAGACTGGCTCTGTTGTGGTCTCCTTATGGTTAGACTGGCTCTGTTGTGGTCTCCTTACGGTCAGACTGGCTCTGTTGTGGTCTCCTTATGGTTAGACTGGCTCTGTTGTGGTCTCCTTATGGTTAGACTGGCTCTGTTGTGGTCTCCTTACGGTCGTGTGGCCTCTACTGTTCCACAGGGCCAGGGGCAGCCGGAGTCGGAGACGGTCCATCTGTTCATCCCGGCGCTGGCGGTCGGAGCAATCATCGGAAAACAGGGTCAACACATCAAGCAGCTGTCACGCTACGCCGGAGCATCCATCAAGGTGAGGGACTTAACGGACCTGCATCTCAATAACCTAAAATAGCCTCTTATCTCATGTATTCTCCTTCACCTATTCCCCCCCCCCCCCCCCCCCTCCATTTTTAGATCAGTGCAGATGAAGTCAGCGTCGTAGATGCAAACCAGGTATTTATTTTCACTTCAAACATTCAGATTCATTTTCCGTGTTGTTACTTATACCCATCAATCCTCTCAGATCTCCACAACTGCATATGGGAGTAGAGCTCCGGTTCAGATCGGGATAGGGTGGCCCCTTCAGGCTGTTGTGATGCACCCCTGATGGGGTAAAGGGAAGCAGTGGGACGTGATTAGATCAGGTAAAGTGTGTTAACGTGTCATGTCCCTCCCCTCAGGTAGCCCCTCCAGACGGCATGGACACCAAGCAGAGGATGGTGATCATCGCTGGACCACCAGAGGCCCAGTTCAAGGTAGGAGCCCTCAGGTCCTCTCGCTTTCTCCACCAGCCATGCGGTTTCCAGTACCCAACGCACCAGAGGAAAAGTGTTGTCCTTTTCGCTCCCAGAAATCCAGAGAACAAAATCATTTTAGTCAAACAGTTGACAACTAGCTAGCTGGCTAAATCTGGCACATTCACATATGTTCATTGATGTCAATTGTCCCGGTCAAGTAAATGAAATAATGAAGCTATTTGAAGATGAAGATGCTTCAATCGAGGGTTGTGGAAATTCCTCTGGCTGACTCTTTGCCCTTTGTCCTGTTGCAGGCTCAGGGTCGTATCTTTGGGAAGCTAAAGGAGGAGAACTTCTTTGGGCCGAAGGAGGAGGTGAAACTAGAGGCTCACATCAAGGTGCCCTCCTTCGCTGCTGGACGTGTCATAGGCAAGGGAGGAAAAACGGTACGCAGAGGCTTGGTCTCCTGTGTGTGACTACGGTTGCCAGATGTATTCTAATTCTGCTCCTGAAATATTGAAAACACCACGTTATTTTGGCTGTAATATCATGGATTTTTCTTATTTCTAGTTTTCTCTACCTCTCGTATCCTCCAATCACCCTTTATGAGTAAACAACAACCCACCATCAAACAAACCAACCAAAATCAAGGAAAACAACAAGCCACCACAAACACCAATCCAACCCGTCCCATCCAAACCCCTCTCCAACCCCCTCCAACCCCCCATCCACCCTCCCTTCCACCCCCCTCTCCACCCTCCCCTCCAACCCCCTCTCCACCCTCCCCTCCAACCCCCTCTCCACCCTCCCCTCCAACCCCCTCTCCACCCTCCCCTCAAGGTGAATTGAGCTGCTAGAACCTGACCAGTGCTGAGGTAGTGGTCCCCAGAGACCAGACGCCTGATGAGAATGACCAGGTCATCGTCAAAATCACTGGACACTTCTATGCAAGCCAGGTATGTTACTCTAATCAAACTTTATTTGAAGTGTTTTTTTAAATTGCAACATTGTGCAGTATAACAATAATAAAGCAGATCAAACTGATGTTCTGAAAGGATCAGATGGGTTGAGCTATCATTTTCTGTCTGCTAGTGGCACTGAGTAATATCTGGCAGGGGGAGAGAGAATGAGTCCATATTCATCCCAGTCAGCGCCGGTCAGTGGGCTAAGATGCATGAAACTGACCATTTGGATTGTGCTGTAGGGTAGGGATTAACATGGGTAACAGGGATCCTGGGACTGTCCCGGGAACACTTCACATTTCCCCAATAAATGTAATGACGATGCAGGAAATTACAAAAGTTTCCCCCAATGTTGGCACTAATGCAATTCCACAAAATACACAACATGAGCAGCATCATATTAGCAAAAAAAAAAAAAAGGTTGTCCCATGGAAGCCTTTAGCCTAGCATATTTAATTCACACAAAATCGGCATTAATTCAAAGTACACACATTGACACTACAGTTCATAAACCCTACAGGAAACGCCTGCAGTATAACCTATAGAAGGTGTGCCTCTGAGCTGTCATTGTGACTCTGCAGACAGTCACGTGATGGGTCTATGCACAATTCACTACATATGCATCTCGGTCACAGACATGAAGTCTGTTAGCATTTTCCCTCATGCCTCTGAATTGTTATCTTCTCCTGTCCTAGACTCTAGGCTATTTTCCTATCCAATTCCGCTGTAACCCAAAATCCTGACTCCTGTCTCGCATGAAAATTCCTAACTTTATTCTGTTATATATGTATCTATGTGTGTGTAAGTATGTATGTATGTATGTATGTATGTATGTATGTATGTATGTTGCATTATCAAAGCACACCTCTCGCCTATGCATGACAAAATACCACTAACATTTCCCCCGTACTTGAAAGTTTCGGTAGAGATTGTGTGATCAACAAACGGTATGAGAGTAGATATGGATATTTTTAAAACAGAGTTGGACCCCGTTAAAATACCTTGATATTTAAACTATTTTCACTCTTCACCCCAGTTATTCATGAGCTGATCTGCTATCTGTATAATCAAATATAGGAGGTATTCTGTCATTCCTTGGAGGTTATCTAGCAAGCTTAGCAACTTTTGTCATTTGACTGACGTTACGTTTGTATGATTCGCCAACACTATACTCTGGGTGTGTCCTGAGTGCGCTCTGTGTCGAAATCGCCTACTGCTGAATTGAGGAACACGATAACGCTCGGAATTCATGAACGGCCTGTTTCACAATTCACAACAATGTAATTGCTGATCAAAGATAGTTACTCTATCATTACTATATCTCAGTTTAATTTGCTCAGATCTTTACTTTGTGGTCAAGCCGACAAGGCGGCGCAGTGCCCATCTTATTTGGGGAGAACCGTGGCATGGTGACCATACCTTGGTTTTAAACGCTTTAAATGGGCACTTCTGATTTGAGGGATTTCCCGGGACTCTCGTGATAAATATGAATTATTCCCGGTATTGAAACTTGGTAGATTCTCTGGAAAATATGAATCCCTACTGGATAAAGGAAGTATAGTTGTGTGCTGTAGGGTTCCCAAACCTTTTTTTACTCATCCCCCCTTCCAGCATTGGGGAACATCCTGCGCCCCCCTGTGCGTGCGCATGCACGCACCACGTCTATTTCTATGGGCACAAGCACTGTTCATGGCAAACTGTTCACACCCCTCATGTTGCAGGTTCAAAGCTTATTTCCTGCAATTATATACATTTTACCATGTCTAATGTGTATTCGTGTGATATTTGAGTGACTCAAACATTACTACAATCTATGGGCTAAAAAACTAGCTAGAAAAACGTTAGCTGACATGGGCTAGTTGATCTGGACATTTCTGACAAGTTATAAATAGCTCTCTAAGGTATGCAATGACTGACATGACAAGAGGAAAACTGATGATGATGCACTGCCCAATTTAGAAAATGCAGCTTGTGCAACTTTCAAGACTAAGTTGAAAGCTGGACTGAGTTCCTTAAAGAAACCATTGGGGAACCACTGCGTAGGGGAAAGGGAGTACAGATGGGTTGTTAAATCTTGGTAAAGCCAACAGATGTGGTTTGAGTAAAATGTACAATGTCGGCTTCTTTATGTAAGGATTGTCCACCATACTGCTTCACATCTGTGTAGCATGTATCAATAGCTGCATCTGAAATGGCACCCTATTCCTTATAAAGGGCACTACTTTTGACCAGGGCCATGCACAAAAGTATTCAGACCCCTTGGATTTCGTCACATTTTGTTACAAAGTGGGATTAAAATTCTACAAAAAAATTTTTCCTGAGGTCTTGGCTGATTTCTTTTGATTTTCCCATGATGTCAAGCAAAGAGGCACTGAGTTTGAAGGTAGGCCTTGAGATACATCCACAGGTACACCTCGTATTGACTCAAATGATGTCAATTAGCCTATCAGAAGCTTCTAAAGCCATGACATCATTTTCTGGAATTTTCCAAGCTGTTTAAAGGCAGTCAACTTAGTGTATGTAAACTTCTGACCCACTGGAACTTCCGACTTCAACTGTACATACAGTACCAGTCAAAAGTTTGGACACACCTACTCATTCAACGGTTTTTCTTAATTTTTACTATTTTCTACATTGTAGAATAATAGTGAAGACATCAAAACTATGAAATAACACATATGGAATCATGTAGTAACCATGAAAATGTTAAATCAAAATATATTTTATATTTGAGATTCTTCAAAGTAGCCACCCTTTGCCTTGATGACAGCTTTGCACACACTTGGCATTCTCTCAACTAGCTTCACCTGGAACGTGCAAGATTGTGCAAAGCTGTCATCAAGGCAAAGGGTGGCTACTTTGAAGAATCTCAAATATAAAATATATTTTGATTTAACATTTTCATGGTTACTACATGATTCCATATGTGTTATTTCATAGTTTTGATGTCTTCACTATTATTCTACAATGTAGAAAATAGTAAAAATTAAGAAAAACCGTTGAATGAGTAGGTGTGTCCAAACATTTGACAGACTCATATACAAAGACCAGGGAGCTGTTTTTGAAAGTCTCATAAAGAAGGGCAGTAATTGGTAGATGGTTAACAATAACAAATCAGACATTGAATATCTCTTTAAGCATGATAAAGTTGATAATTATGCTGTGGATGATGTATTAAACCACCCAGACACATCAAAGATGAAGCCGTCCTTCTGAACTGAGGTGCAGGACCGGAATTAAACTCCTTAGGGATGTCACCATGAGGCCATTGGTGATTTTAAAACAGCTACAGAGTTCGATGGCTGTGATGGGAGAACTGAGGACGGATCAACATTATAGTGGCTCTACAATAATGACCTCAATGACAGAGTGAAAAGAACCCAAATTAAAATGATTCCTAACATGCATATTGTATGCAACAAGGCACTAAAGTAATACTGCAGAAAAACATGGCAAAGGAATACACTTTTTGGCTTAAATGCAAAGCCCTATGTTTGGGGCAAATCCAACACAATGCATCACTGAGTAACAGTCTCCTTATTTTGAAGCATGGTGGCTGCATCATGGTATGGGTATGCTTGACATCTGTAAATACTAGGGAGTTTTTCAGGATAAAAATAAACTGGATAGGGCTAAGCACTGGCGCAATCCTAGAGGAAAACCTGCTTCAGTCTGCTCTAAACCAGACACTGGGAGTGGAATTCACCTTTCAGCAGGACAATAACCTACAACACAAGGCCAGATCTACACGGGTTGCCAACCAATAAGACTGTGAATGTTCCGAGGTAGCCAAGTTAGTTTTGACTTAAATCTGTTTGAAATACTTTGGCAATACTTCAAAATGGCTGTCTAGCCATGACCCCCAACATCTTGACAGAGCTTGAAGAATTTTGAAAAGAATATTGTGCGAATATTGTACAATCCAGATGTGCAAAGCTCTTAGACTTACCCAAGAAGACTCACAGCTGTAATCGCTGCCAAAGGTGTTTCTAACATGAATGGACTCAGGAAACTGAATACTAATGCAACGATTATTTTATTTAGAATTGTTGTATTAATCTTTTAAAAATGCTAGAATGTTTCTATTTTGTGTAGATTGTTGACAAATCCATTGTAATCCCACTTTGTAACACAATGTGAAGAAATCCAAGGGGTCTGAATACTTTTGCAAGGCACTGTATATATAAGGAATAGGATGCCATTCAGTACTATAGGGTGCTATTTCAGAAGCCGCCACGTTAACCTTTCTGCTTGATTAATTCTTAATTCTACTCACCTTAGAAGCAATGGATGTGTGCATGCCAGTGTTAGATGAGGTTCCTGACCTTTGCCCTTTGACCCCTCCCCAGCTGGCCCAGAGGAAGATCCAGGAGATATTGTCCCAGGTGAGACGGCAACAACAGCCCAAACCCTCGCCCCGCGGGGAGGGGCCGACCCTCGCCCGCCCCTCCCGGAAGTAGACGGGGGGCCAGTGACTGAACCGCCTGAAGACAAAGCAGAGACCAGAGGGGAAACACGGGCATCAAGGGTCATGGGTACCCTACTGTACACCCCCACCCCCCTCTCAGTGACCTCCTCGACCGACACACCACAGTGTGGATAAGACCTTAAACCCCCCACCCCCCCATCACCTCACCTCTCTGAGAATGTATTTCAGGGGGTTCCAACGTTGTCACACACCCTCTCACCACACGGATGGGTCCTGATTGGTTCCTCATTCGTTTAAGAAAGAAATAAGAATTATCCCCTTCCCTGGTGTGGTAACACTCAACCACCTCACATGTTGATGACAGGTGTTCATTTTGACACAAGTTTCAGTTTTTACCTTTTTTTATTTAGTATTTTGTTTTTCGCCCTGGATGAGGTGTTTGTTTAATTGGTTGATGAAGCTTTCTCTCCTGAGTTTTCTGTGGCAAGAAAAAGGCATTGCTTGGAGTCCTGGTAGGATGATGAGAGGGGGGAGGGGTTTAGATGGAGTGGCAGGGCTAGGGGTAATACTCTTGTTTGATTGGACAGGGGCCCCGGTGGTGGTTTAACCGGGTGCCCCTGTGCCGGTGTTGATAGTGGCATTTTATAAATTCGGATGCATTTTATAGATATATAAATATATTTAGAGTTGAGGATAACACTGTCGTTAACACTTAAGGGACGTGTTGAACAGTGTTGGCCAGGAAAACCAATTTAATATGCATTTTACTGAACTACCTCAGGATCTCTAGTACCTCAAGAAGATGAAGATTAAAAATAAAAATAAAAATGGATTATATATATATATAATATATATATGAGAAAAACAGTTATTTTATTTTTTATTTTGCTTTGTGGTATTTTGTATACTTTATAAAGCTAATAGTTCTTGAACATTTTTATTTTTTTAAGAAAATTAAACATTTGGTCGGCTGCCAACTGACCTTGCCTTCAACTCTAGCGCTCTCCGGCGGCATCAACGTGTACGATGTCTGTGTGTGACGACGGTGGCCCTGTACATAAAGTCTGTCTGTACACACTGCCCAGGGCAGAGTTGGGGCCCTACTCAGTTGGCTGTTGATTGGAGTATCGAGAGAAAATAAATCGCCTCAGTTTTCCTGATGAATCCACCATCTTCTGAAAACTACAAAAAATAACGACTATATTAGAGTAATGCCGATTCATGCCAACCGTACATACTGCAGCGACGCCGTTTCGTTTTGGGGTTCTGACACTTATTGTTGATGGTACGTTTAATTTTTCACACTTAATGTTTTTTCTTCTGCCTTCTGCAATGGGATAGCACGCAATGGATGGGCCTGAGCACTGAGTTCTCTATGTAGCCATCATAGAAATAGACATGGAAGAGCTGTTGGTCTGTTGGTTGTATTTCTGTTACCTGTTTAGGCCTTGAACCATCATCATAGTCTGAAATGGCACCCTATTTCCCATAGTGCTCCAAGTTGTGCAATGGGGAATAGGGTGCAATTTGGAAGTTACCCCAGGGTTCTGACAGGCTAAAGTGCAGTCCACAGCCTGACTAGGTTTTATTTAATTTTTTTCATAGAGCGAGCTTGGCCATGTGTGGTGGCCCCAGTAGCCACCAAGTTGGTCTGTTAGTGTCATTCACTGCATGGTGAAGGTAGGGGGGATTCACACTGATGGATGCTTTTATTGCTATAGAATCTACTGTAACTGTTTAACCAGCAGCAGCAGCTGTAACCTTGATTTGAAGTGAGAGAACGCAGTTAAAATTAGTATTCATTACAAAAAGCCAAGAGGCACACAAAAACATTTACTAAATAAACCCTGATTGGGACGAGGAATATCAGTTTAAAAAATCCAACGACGAAATACTATACCAAGTTTATCCTTTTTTTTATGCAGAATGTAAATGTTTTGATTTTGGTAAAAGTGTTTGAGTGTATTCATTCTTCCACAATAGAACGCCGTCTACCTCAGCTGAGGGGGGGTTTGTGGCGGCATGCGCCCTCACCCCGCCTAGCGCCCACGCGCTCGCTGCGATACCTCAGTCCCCCGCAACACTTCTCTGCATGGGCGCGTGCGTGCTCACGCAGTCCAACCTCGCGCTTACGTACATGAGGGGCACAAGTGACGTTTATTCCCCCCTCCTCCCTCACCCCTTCCTCATCCTCTGTTTTTTGATCTACCTCTTTAGACATACATTTGAATTAGAGGCATACTTCTATTTGTTAGATTTAGCGTTCTTCTCCCGCTCCCCCTTCCGCTTTCCCAGATATTAATGAAAATAAACAAATCATGTTGTACTCTCTTAGAATTTAAACGAATAATCGAAAAGTGATCAGAAATATTTCCTTTGCCAGCATTTATATAATCTACTCTTCTAGTTTAGTTGATTGAAAATCCTCAAACGTTGCTTTTTTCTGCTTTTATTTTTGGTAGTGTGGCTTCCATGTATTTAACTTTCTTGCTTGGGTTTTTTGTGAAAAAAGATCATTCACCCGTAATTTGTTTTTGATTCAATGAATGGATGATAAGTAAAAATAATTATTAAAACTGAAGAAGAAGAAAAGGCCTGCCTTTTTTGTTTCTGGTTTATGAGACTAACAATAAATACTGTCTTTCTTACCTTTGTCTTCATGGATGCTACATTAATTTGATAGCGATTTGTTCTGTTAGCATTTTCTTAGCTGTGTAACATGGAAAATCATGTTTGTGGGGAAAGTGGAGGGACTGGGTTTGGGAGTCCGTTTTTGGAAAAGTGGTCTGATTTAACCATGATTCCCCCCCTCCCCTGCCCCCTCTCTACGACCATGCTTGTGCCCCTTCACCCCCATCACGCAGCTCCACTTGTCAAACGCCTCTGAATAAAATAAAAAAGTGAAATTGGCTCCTATGTCCTTCACTTGTCTTGTTTTTTTTTTTTTTCTGTCCTTATCCATCTACTGTAAGATGTACTTTCTAAAATGTTTGTGTAATTTAACCTTTTGTTAAAGGGGAAGTTGAGGATATTACAACTTGACGTTAGATGGTTCCTCACCATGAAAGTAGTCTATGGGCCAGGAGAAACCATACTCTATGGTTTGGTTTTCTCTAAACGGCCACTACGTACTCTAGCTACCGCTAGCAAAACATTTATGGAGTGATGACGAGGGCATGTGTGAAACAGTCAATTGTGTTAGTTGGTCCGTTACTAGAACCATGTAATAGTGTTCAGTCCAATATGTAAATTGTATTTTAATCAGGTTACTTGTTACATCACCTGTGAGCCCCCCCAAGAGACACATGCAGATAGGTAGGTTACACACATTTCCAGTATATTCAAAACTGAGTAGTTGGTTCTTAAATCTTTCCAGAACAAAATGTCATTTTTAGATTTGGTGTGAAACTATGGCTTCTCAGTACATTCATGCAACAGAGACTGTGTGCACATTACAGAGAATGGGCAGTAATGTGCAGTTGAACACTGATAAATCAAGTTATTTAAATTAACTTTTTAACATTTTCTAAAAGTAAGCCATTAAGCTTGAAGCACAGTATAAATATATTTTCATAAATTCATGAGTGAGGGGAAAAAATCATTAGCTCTGAATATCCGTCAAAACAACTTTTTGCCCAGCTTCATTTTGGTTCCTAGGCCCATTCGATTTCACAGATCTGAAAAGGCTAAGGGAAGCGGCTAGATAATAAAATGGGACGGACGGGACCTTACTATTACACTCCCACCAGAGCTGCCTCTCAACTTTGCCACAGTGCCTATAGAAAGTCTATACCCCTGTGAACTTTTACATTTGTCTTTAAGCATGATAAAGTAAATTATGCTGTGGATGATGTGTTAAACCACCCAGACACATCATCAAAGATGCAGTTGTCCTTCTGAACTGAGCTGCAGGACATCACCATGAAGCCATTGGTGATTTTAAAAAATGGCTACAGAGTTCAATGGCTGTGATGGGATAAAACTGAGGATGGATCAACAACATTGTAGTGACTCCAAATAATGACATACAGTGCATTCGAAAAGTATTCAGAACCCTTCTCTTTCCCCCATTTTGTTACCTTACAGCCTTATTCTAAAATGGATTAAATAAAATCCTCATCAATCTACACAATACCCCATAATGACAAAGCAAAAACTGGTTTTTAGAAAAGCTTGCAAATTTATTAAAAATGGAAACTCACATTTACATAAGTATTCAGACCCTTTACTCAGTACTTTGTTAAAGCACCGTTGGCAGCGATTACAGCCTCGGGTCTTCTTGGATATGACTGTACAAGCTTGGCACACCTGTATTTGGGGAGATTTTCCATTCTTATCTGCAGATCCTCTCAAGCTCTGACAGGTTGGATGGGGAGCGTCGCTGCACTGCTATTTTCAGGTCTCTCCAGAGATGTTCAAGTCCAGGCTCTGGCTGTGCCACTCAAGGACTTTCAGAGACTTGTCCCGAAGCCACTCCTGCGTTGTCTTGGCTGTGTGCTTAAGGTCATTGTCCTGTTGGAAGGTCAACCTTTGCCCCAGTCTGAGGTCCTGAGTGCTCTGGAGAAGGTTTTCATCAAGGATCTCTCTGTATTTTGCTCCGTTCATCTTTCCCTAGATCCTGACTAGTCTCCCAGTCCCTGCAGCTGAAATATATCCCCCGCACCATGCTTCACCGTAGGGATGGTGCCAGGTTTCCTCCAGACGTGATGCTTGGCATTCAGGCCAAAGTGTTCAATCTTGGTTTCATCAGACAAGAGAATCTTGTTTCTCATGATCTGAGAGTCCTTTAAGTGCCTTTTGGCAAACTCCAAGCAAGCTGTCATATGCCTTTTACTGAGGAGTGGCTTCTGTCTGGCCACTGTACCGCATAAAGGCTTGATTGGTGGAGTGCTGCAAAGATTGTTGTCCTTCTGGAAGGTTCTCCCATCTCCAAGGAGGAACTCTGGAGCTCTGTCAGTGACCATTGGGTTCTTGGTCACCTCCCTGACCAAGGCCCTTCTCCCCCGATTGCTCAGTTTGGCCAGGCGGCCAGCTCTAGGAAGAGTCTTGGTGGTTCCAAACTGCTTCCATTTAAGAATGATGGAGGCCTCTGTGTTCTCGGGGACCTTCAATGTTGCAGACATTTTTTTGGTACCCTTCCCCAGAGCTGTGCCTCGACACAATCCTGTCTCGCAGCTCTACGAACAATTCCTTCGACCTCATGGCTTGGTTTTTTCTGTGACATGCACTGTCAACTGTGGGACCTTATATAGACTGGTATGTGCCTTTCCAAATCATGTCCAATCAATTTAACTTACCACAGGTGGACTCCCAAGTTGTAGAAACATCTCAAGGATGATCAATGGACACAGGATGCACCTGAGCTCAATTTCGAGTAAAACATTCTAAAAACCTGTTTTCACTTTGTCATTATGGGGTATTGTGTGTAGATTAATGAGGGGAAAAAAATATTTAATACATTTTAGAATAAGGCTGTAATGTAACAAAATGTGGAAAAGTCAAGGGGTCTGAATACTTTCAAATGCACAGTAAATGACAGAGTGAAAAGAATACAAATATTCCAAAACATGCATCCTGTATGCAACAAGCCACTAAAGTAATAATAATAAAATGAATACACTTTTTGGCCTAAGTGCAAAGCCTTTTGTTTGGAGCAAACACAACACATCACTGAGTAACTGTCTCCTTATTTTCAAGCATGGTGGTGACTGCATCATGTTATGGGTATGCATGACATTGGCAAATACTGGAGAGTTTTTCAGGATGAAAAGAAACGGGATGGAGCTAAGCACTGGCAAAATCCTAGAGGAAAACCTTCAGTCTGCTTTACACCAGACACTGGGAAAGGAACTTACATTTCAGCAGGACAATAAACCCAAATTTACACTGGAGTTGCTTACCAAGAAGACAGTGAATGTTCCTGAGCTGCCAAGTTACAGTTTTGACTTAAATCTGCTTGAAAATCTATGGCTGTCTAGCCATGATCCTCAACACCTTGACAGAACTTGAATCATTTTTTAAAGAATAATGGGCAAATATTGCACTACAGGTGTGCAAAGCTCTTATGAGGCTTACCCAAGAAGACACAGCTGTAATGGCTGCCACAGGTGTTTCTAATATGTATTGACTTAAGGGGGTGAATACTTATCTAATCAAGGTATGTTAGTGTTTTATTTTTCATTCATCTTTAAAACATGTTAGAGCTTTTCTTCCACTTTGACATTACAGAGTATTTTGTGTAGACCATTGACAAAAAAGTACAATGAAATCTGTTTTAATCCCACTTTGTAAGGGGGGTGTAGACTTTCTATAGGCTCTGTACTTGTGCTTTTCTACAACAAAGTCAACTAAACAGAAAAGGCATTTGTATTTTCATATTTATTATCAAAAGTTAAATGTATCTCTTGCTATCTTACCTATTAACAGTGTTAGTTCTCTTGGTTATTGGTATATATATCTTCTTTGTGATGCATTTATGAATGTGCTAAAAGTTAACTTTGGTACTGAAGAACCTCTGAGTAAAAACCCTGGGGTCTGTTAAGGATTATATAAAGTTACAGAACATTGAGATAGAAATGTATCGTGTAGAACAGATATGCTTGTCTGTCAGATACGAAAGGAAATCCAGTAAGCTCTATTCATGCTATTTCTATCTGCACCATTCAAAATGTTGCACACCACTGAATACACCCCAATTTTACAGCCCATTGCTGTAGTACCGTCGGAGGGTCTACAGGGGGCGTCTGTCCGACAGCAGGCGACTCCTCTCCTCGTTGGTGGGGAATATTACCTCCCTCAGCCGGCTCATACGACCTCCGACCCCAACATGGCCCCTGCCGCTGGCATCCTCCACCAGGGACCTCCTCACCCGCTTGTAGACTTTATAGCGCCTGGGAGAGGAAAGTAGAGGAGGGAGGGAGAGATGGATGGGAGGGGGGGAGGGAGAGATGGATGGGAGGGGGGAGGGAGGGAGGGAGAGATGGATGGGAGGGGGGAGGGAGGTGTAGAGCGAGATGGATGGGGGGGGGGGAGAGCGAGATGGAGGGAGGGGGGAGGGAGAGATGATGTGAGGGGGAGGGAGAGATGGAGGGATTGGAGGGGGGGAGAGAGATAGAGGAGGGGGGGAGGGAGAGAGAGAGATGGAGGGAGGGGAGGGAGCGAGATGGAGGGGAGGGGGGGGAGAGAGAGAGATGGAGGGGAGTGGAGGGGGGAGAGAGAGGAGGGGAGGGGAGAGTGAGAGAGGAGGGGAGTGAGAGGTGGAGGGGGGAGGGAGAGGTGGAGGAGAGTGGGGTGGGAGAGGTGGGGGGGAGGGATGGAGGAGAGGTGGGGGGGAGGGATGGAGGAGAGGTGGAGGGGAGGGGGGAGAGAGATGGAGTAGAGGGGGGAGTGAGAGGAGGGGAGGTGGAGGGGGGAGAGAGGGGGAGAGGGGGAGAGAGGAGGAGAGATGGAGGAGAGAGGAGGAGGGATGGAGGAGAGGGGGGAGGAAGAGGTGGAGGGGAGGGGGGGAGAGAAGAGGAGAGGAGAGAGAGAGAGATGGAGGTGAGGGAGAGATGGGGAGGGAGAGATGGAGAAGAGGGGGGATAGAGATGTGGTGGGGGAGATGGAAATGAGAGATCATGAGTAAGGGAAACTCTGTGTGAGTGCGCGAGTAATACTGGGTGGCTTGACTTACTTATAGACCATGAAGGCGGTGAAGGCAAAGATGGCTACCACAATAGCACTGGAGGAGAGGACAACCTCTGCAGCATGAGGAGCTTTAGACACTACAGACAGATGGGGGAGAGGGATGGAGGAACAAAAATGAGAGGGAAATTGACAGAGTGATAGAGAGGTGGGATGGATCGAGGGGAGGCAAGAATCAAAGGGGGGAGGATGGAAAGAAGTGGAGAGAAAAGATGTAGAGAGGTGGGATGAGATTGGAAGAGAAATAAATCACTTTATCAGTTGTAAATTGTGCCTAAATACCATCAAACGAAACCTAAACTTAAAAATGAAAATCCCCATCTATGGCTTTGGACTTGTACACATTCAAAACATTGTATCCCAAATGCCACCCTACTCCCTATATAGTGTACTACCTTGATCATGGCCCATCCATATGGCACACTATTCCCTATATACAATGAATTCGGAAAGTATTCAGACCCCTTCCCTTTTTCCAAATTGTGTTACGTTACAGCCTTATTCTAAAATTGATTAAATTAAATCCATCTACACACAATACCCCATAATGACAAAGCGAAAACAGGTTTTTAAAATGTTTTGCAAATGTATTCAGACCCTTTGCTATGAGACTCGAAATTGACCTCAGGTGCATCCTGTTTTCATTGATCATCCTTGAGATGTTTCTACAACTTGGGAGTCCACCTGTGGTAAATTAAATTGATTGGACATGATTTGGAAAGGCACACACCTGTCTATATAAGGTCCCACAGTTGATATGTCACAGCAAAAACCAAGCCATGAGGTCGAAGGAATTGTTCATAGAGGTCCGAGACAGGATTGTGTCTAGGCACAGATCTGGGGAAGGGTACCAAAAAATGTCTGCAGCATTGAAGTTCCCAGAGAACACAGTGGCCTCCATCATTCTTAAATGGAAGTAGTTTGGAACCACCAAGACTCTTCCTAGAGCTGGCTGCCTGGCCAAACTGAGAAATTGGGGAAGAAGGGCCTTGGTCAGGGAAGTGACCAAGAACCCGATGGTCGCTCTGACAGAGCTCCAGAGTTCCTCTGTGGAGATGGGAGAACCTTCCAGAAGGACAACAATCTCTGCAGCACTCCACCAATGAGGCCTTTATGGTAGAGTGGCCAGACGGAAGCCACTCCTCAGTAAAAGGCACATGACAGCCCACTTGGAGTTTGCCAAAAGGCACTTAAAGGAATCTCAGACCATGAGAAACAAGATTCTCTGGTCTGATGAAACCAAGATTGAACTCTTTGGCCTGAATGCCAAGCGTCACGCCTGGAGGAAACCTGGCACCATCCCTACGATGAAGCATGTTACCGGCAGCATCATGCTGTGGGGATGTTTTTCAGCGGCAGGGACTGGGAGGTTAGTCAGGATCGAGGGAAAGATGAATGAAGCAAAATACAGAGAGATCCTTGATGAAAACCTGCTCCAGAGCACTCAGCACCTCAAACTGGGGTGAAGGTTCACCTTCCAACAGGACTATGACCCTAAGCACACAGCCAAGACAACGCAGGAGTGGCTTCGGGACAAGTCTCTGAATGTCCTTGAGTGGCCCAGCCAGAGCCCGGACTTGAACCCGATCTAACATCTCTGGAGAGTCCTGAAAATAGCTTTGCAGCGACGCTCCCCATCCATCCTGACAGAGCTTGAGAGGATCTGCAGAGAAGAATGGGAGATATACAGGTGTGCGAAGCTTGTAGCGTCATACCCAATAAAACTTGAGGCTGTAATCGCTGCCAAAGGTGCTTCAACAAAGTACTGAATAAAGGGTCTGAATACTTATGTAAATGTAATATTTCCATTTTTCTAAAAAACTGTTTTTGCTTTGTCATTATGGGGTATTGAGTGTAGATTGATGATGGGGGAAAAAACGATTGAATCCATTTTTGAATAAGGCTGTAACGTAAGAAAATGGGGAAAAAGTCAAGCTGTCTGAATACTTTCCGAATGCACTGTAGGGTGCCATTTGGGACTCAACCTGAATAAGACCCCAGGGTCTAGCCCTGTGACCTACCGGGTGTGTCAGAGTCAGTGTTGCTGATGGTGATGGTGGTGGTGGTGAGGGCCAGACTGCTGGCGTCCTCCAGGGTGATGTTGACACAGTAGGTCCCTGGCTCCAAGAAGGTCCTCCGCAGGTGCACCTCGCATTCCGACGATGGGGGCACGTCATCACACATGATGCTCCTCACCTGGTGGCAAGAGGGGTCCGACACGATGGTGCAGGCTGAGGTGGGAGTGCTGGGGAAGGGGGAGAGAAGGAGGAGAGTGGTTATGGTAGTAGGTAAATGGATGGGGCAACTATGGAGTGGTTTGTGTGTTAATATTCATTACAAATGACATTTTTCACTAGTCCAAAAACATGTCTGAGGGTTGCCTTAGCCACATCCAATTGTGTTCCACTCACCTGCCCAGGCACTTGACCAGGAAGCTGATATCAGTGTTGGTCACCTTGGCAGCAGACACGTCCACGATCCAATTGGCTGGCTGGCTGTTGATTAAGTGCTTGTGTTCTGTGATTGGGTAAGGAATGAATGGAGTGATTAAAACACGCTTGGATTGAAGACTTTTCACAATTGGGCAAATACTAACTTCCACTCCCATTAATATCAATGCATGATTATGTTAACATGTGTAGACATTGGGCAGTGGAACTTAGACATTCTCATAGGGGCAAATCCTATGTCCCAAATGGCACCCTATTCCCTATATAGGGCACTACTTTGTGCCCAAAAGTAGTGCACTATAAAGAGAACAGGATGCCATTTGAGACGCACTATATCCTCATCCACCCACCGATGATGGTGATGTTGGTCTGGAAGGTTCCGTAGAGGTAGCGGAAGCAGTCATCGGCCGCCAGGTGTCTGTGGCGGAGCTGGGCCATGGGGGTTGGGCTAGCGGGCAGGGACATGGGGGTGGGGCCAGCGGGCAGGGACATGGGGGTGGGGCCAGCTAGCAAGAACTGGGCGAAAAGTTGTATCGGGTTGAAAAGAGCCAAGGCCACGTCAGCAACCGTCGTCGGGAGAGGCTCCGTTGTTGGGAAGCCCGTAGTCATAGGAACAGGTGTGTTGGGGGCGGGTCTGGCAGTGGTGACTGGCACTGGAAACGAGACAGTGGAATTTGGACAGTTTATGTCAGCTGAATAGAACTAAACTCACTAGAGAAAACACTTCCTCATACACTCTAACAGACACTTCTATTCAACACACATTACAGAGTTAATTCTTACCAAAACCATGGGTTGTCTCCATTTTGCGAGTGATGGCGTGAGTGCCAGGGGTAGGTGTGGGGGCTGCTGAAGGAGAGAAAAAGAGCGATATGACATAATGCTTCAAAGACGGACATGGGGCTGCAGCGCAATCAGTTAAAAAAAACATTCCTCAATGGTGCATACCTTATTAAAATCAAATCAAATGTTATTGGTCATATACACATATTTAGCAGATGTTATTGCGGGTGTAGCGAAAGGCTGGAGTAGCAGTAGTATGGTGAAAGATTACGCTCATTAGTGTGCAATATGTACAGTCGTGGTCAAAAGTTTTGAGAATGACACAAATATAAATTTTCACAAAGTCTGCTGCCTCAGTTTTTATGATGGCAATTTGCATATACTCCAGAATGTTATGAAGAGTGATCAGATGATTTGCAATTAATTGCAAAGTCCCTCTTTGCCATGAAAATGAACTTAATCCCCCAAAAAACATTTCCACTGCATTTCAGCCCTGCCACAAAAGGACCAGCTGACATGTCAGTGATTCTCTCGTTAACACAGGTGAGAGTGTTGACGAGGACAAGGCTGGAGATCACTCTGTCATGCTGATTGAGTTAGAATAACAGACTGGAAGCTTTAAAAGGAGGGTGGTGCTTGAAATCATTGTTCTTCCTCTGTTAACCATGGTTACCTGCAAGGAAACACGTGCCGTCATCATTGCTTTGCACAAAAAGGGCTTCACAGGCAAGGATATTGCTGCTAGTAAGATTGCACCTAAATCAACCATTTATCGGATCATCAAGAACTTCAAGGAGAGAGGTTCAATTGTTGTGAAGAAGGCTTCAGGGCGCCCAAGAAAGTCCAGCAAGCGCCAGGACCGTCTCCTAAAGTTGATTCAGCTGCAGGATCGGGGCACCACCAGTGCAGAGCTTGCTCAGGAATGGCAGCAGGCAGGTGTGAATACATCTGCACGCACAGTGAGGCGAAGACTTCTGGAGGATGGCCTGGTGTCAAGAAGGGCAGCGAGGAAGCCACTTCTCTCCAGGAAAAACATCAGGGACAGACTGATATTCTGCAAAAGGTACAGGGATTGGACTGCTGAGGACTGGGGTAAAGTCATTTTCTCTGATGAATCCCCTTTCCGATTGTTTGGGGCATCCGGAAAAAAGCTTGTCCGGAGAAGACAAGGTGAACGCTACCATCAGTCCTGTGTCATGCCAACAGTAAAGCATCCTGAAACCATTCATGTGTGGGGTTGCTTCTCAGCCAAGGGAGTGGGCTCACTCACAATTATGCCTAAGAACACAGCCATGAATAAAGAATGGTACCAACACATCCTCCAAGAGCAACTTCTCCCAACCATCCAAGAAAAAGTTTGGTGACGAACAATGCCTTTTCCAGCATGATGGAGCACCTTGCCATAAGGCAAAAGTGATAACTAAGTGGCTCGGGGAACAAAACATCAACATTTTGGGTCCATGGCCTGGAAACTCCCCAAACCTTAATCCCATTGAGAATTTGTGGTCAATCCTCAAGAGGCGGGTGGACAAACAAAAACCCACAAATTCTGACAAACTCCAAGCATTGATTATGCAAGAATGGGCTGCCATCAGTCAGGATGTGGCCCATAAGTTAATTGACAGCACGCCACTGTGGGATTGCAGAGGTCTTGAAAAAGAAGGGTCAACACTGCAAATATTGACTCTTTGCATAAACATAATGTAATTGTCAATAAAAGCCTTTTGACACTTATGGAATGCTTGTAATTACAGTTCAGTATACCATAGTAACATCTGAGAAAAATATCTAAAAACACTGAAGCAGCAAACTTTGTGAAGACCAATACTTTGTGAAGACTGTACATACTTTCTAGGTTTGTGTACCTGCAATATCCACTGAAGTGTGTGACTCAAGTGAGTGTACCTGTAGTTTTCGGCGAGGTAACACTCGTCGGCATGGCCGGGGGACACGGGATCTTGAACGCCGCCTCCACCATCAACTTCACGTTGACATTTCCAACCGCACTGTAGGTGTGAGTGGCTACGTTGCTATGGGTGACCAGCTGGTTGCCATCCTTGAAGTCCCAGATGTAGTCGACGGCGTCTGCGGTCTTCAGGTAGTTACTGGGGTCGTGAACCGACACACTGAACACCACGTCCTCGCCACGCACAAACACGCTCTCCGACAGGTTGGCTGATGCCTTCTGGGAAATATTCACAGCCACTGGGATCTTGTCTGTGGAGGGAAAAGGGTTAACGAGGTCCCGGAACACATAGGGTGTGTTCGTAAATTCTCTGGCTATCTACTCCGACTTTAGAGCACTCTCCTCTTGAGTGTGTCAGTGCAGAATAACTGATGAATTTACGAACGCGCAATACCCGTTCAATATGACCGGTGTCAGTAAACATCAGCAAAAAAACGTTATTCAATCGTTGCCAGCAGCACAGTTACACTCACTAACGCTCTAGACAACATGAAAACAGCCTAACCACCTCTGCTAGGGGGAGTAAAATGGTGTTCTCTCATTTGTGTCTGGAAGTAGCTAGCTAGCAAGCTAACTTTAGCCAGTTAGCTTGGGTGCTTGACTGCCGTTGTGAGGTCAGAACGCTAGAGCATCCAGTGTGCTAAATGCTCCGAGAGCGAAACGCTCTGAATTTACCAACGGACAATCTGACAACGCTCTGAATTTACCAACGGACAATCTGACAACGCTCTGAATTTAAGAATGGACAATCTGACAACGCTCTGAATTTACCAATGGACAATAAGACAACGCTCTGAATTTACGAACGCCCAGAGCACACTCTGAGCGCACTCTGGCACTCCAGAGTGAATTTACGAACACACCCATAGTGAGCGCGGGAGGGGGGGGGTGTTATCCGGGTGGGCTCTGAGGTACAGGAACACATTGAGAAAAAAAGTGACAAACTAAACGTATCAGCGCAGCAGACAGAGTAGACAGCCAAGTAGCCCACTATCTATGGTGGTGAAATGGACACTGCTCTCCAAGGTGCTGATTAATTCAAAGCATTTAGACGTCACTGCAGTATGCCCACATACTTGAGTATAGCTATTGGTCTTACACAAGTCCGAAATTCTTATAGCCTCATTTTCTAGACATCACTGCATAACACCCGCCATAGGCATATGGTCACACACTCAGCTGTGGGGCTTACAACACCCGAATTTCATATAATTTCCAAGACATCAATGTCACAGTAGAACTAATATCACAATTTCGGAATAAAGTTTGAAATAAAATTCATCAATGTAGGCTACAGCAGAACACACATATGAGAATATATAGGCCTCCTGCCTATGTGATAACATGAAGCACATATTCAGATTAACTTCACAGTACAGAACAAGTTTGTAAAGAAAAATTTTTCCTCCCTTAGTTTTCAAAACCTCCCACAATGACAAGTCCATTTAACTCCTGACAGTCAACTTCTTGCTCAAAGCCATGAGCAGGCCTGTGGCTGTGACGTTTAGCCTCCTTCTATGGCTGTTCGGAAGACTGGCTGTAGGTGATGTGTAAGAGAGACTATGCCTGCGTTCCAATCAGCAAAATCCTTGACTGCCTATGGCTAGTCAGAAAATATTGAATAAGTGAAAGCAAAGCGCTAAAGCTCCACCTGACTAAGTGCTTGGTGTCCTTTAAGATGTACAAGGGGAAGGAACGATAGTAGATGGGAGGAAGCAAGGTTGCGGATTGAGACACGTGATGCTTGGAGAGTAGACATGAAGTGTATACAGCGGACTCACCTGTGACAAAGAAGACGACCTTGTCGGTGGCCAGGGGGCTGTACTTCCTGCGCTCGCGTTTCCTGTACACCATGACCTCCATCAGCTCCGCCCCAAGAGTGATGTCACTGGTGTTCACTGTCAGGGTGGAGGAGGAGCCATCGCACGTCTCAGAGTACTGACCTGAGGGAGGGGGGAGGAGGGAGGGAGGGAGGGAGGGCGAGAGGGAGGGAGGAAGGGAGGGAGGAATCAGAGGCAGAGAGAGTTAGAGTAATAGCAGATATCCATCTCTCTCAGCACCTGCCTCCTCACCTTTAATAGAGCTCATCTAATCGAAGACATTGTACATGCATATGTGCGTAATTTACTGTGTTTGAGTGAGTCTCTTACCCATAGAGTGCCATACATAGACGTAGCCCTTGTGTCTCCAGTCATTGCTCTGAGGGAAGGGTTTCCCGTCTGGGAAGACCTTACATCTCTTCAGGTCAGTACACTTTCCAAAGCCATAGTCATCCAGCCAGGAGGTCCAGTTAAACACATAGCCAGACTTAAGTTGACTGTTAGCTGACCAGGGCAGGGGAGGAGAGAGTTACAGTCAATTCACAGAATTTAGTACACCCTAGCCTATTTCATGCCTCAATGTTGATCTATTCAGTTTTTGTGAATGCTAAATCGCTGACTGTATAATGAACTTATCAGCTGTTGTCATTTTTGTAAAGTGCGTGTGTGTGTGTGTCTGTGTGTGTGTGTGTGTGTCTGTGTCTGTGTGAGGGGGTCTGTGTGTGGGTGGGTGGGTGTGTCTGTGTGTGTCTGTGTGTGTCTGTCTGTGTCTTTGTGTGTGTGTTTATGTGCAGGGGCGTACTTAGTGATTTCACAATCCCCAAGTCAAAACAGACTATGGGTGGCGCACAATACTACATAGAGCCATGACTACATGGAACTCTATTCCACATCAGGTAACTGATGCAAGCAGTAGAATCAAAAATACACCTTATGGAACAGCGGGGACTGTGAAGAAACACACAGACACACGCATTCACATGGATTTTGTATTGTAGATATGTGGTAGTACAGTAGTGGCATGAGGGAACACACTTAATGTGTTGTGAAAAGTTTTATGAAATGTAATGTCATGTAATATATTTTATTGTATATAACTGCCTTAATGTTGCTGGACCCCAGGAAGAGTAGCTGCTTCCTTGGCAGGAACTAATGGGGATCCTTAATAAATACAATACAATACAATTTGGAGGCCCCAGGCAGAGGTCAGACTGAGGTCAGACTGAGGTCAGACTGAGGCCAGACTGAGGCACACGCACACATTTTTTAAATGGGTTTATAGTAAAGCCATGTAATTTAACTGTAAAAATGTATGACCTTTTAATGTGCCATAAACACAACCAGTTTTCATTTGATTGTCAAACAAATCACTTCAAAAAGTAGTTTACCTTTGCACGTTCATCCAAAATAATTCCAGGATCCGAACAGTGCACTGTGCATTCGACAACTTTCCAACTTTCCTTTAATTCGCAAGTGGCTGAAACTATCTCACCGGAGAAAGCATCCTAGCGAGCGAAACAGCGCCCCTCTGTCATACTATGTGTAGTCCATGTATCTGATGGTGTCTGGCCAAAAATAGTATGACATGCAGCATCAGATACATGGGCTACACACACCCCACTGGGCACATATGTCAATTCAACATCTATTCTACCTTGGTTCAACATCATTTCATTGAAATGACGTGGAAACAACGTTGATTCAACCAGTGTGTGCCCATTGGGACATGTCCTCTGCCTCGACGAAGATGGCAGTATTATCAGAAGCACTATATTATCAGCAGCACCTGTCCTTTTACTGAGGCAATTGCCTATTCTTCCTAATCTTAAATCCACCACTGTGAGAGTGTGTGTGTGAGTATGTATATGTATATGTATATATATACAGTGAGCTCCATAATTCACTGGACAGTGACCATTCTTTTGTTATTTTGGTTCTGTACTCTAGCACTTTGAGTTTGAAAGGATACAATGACAATGAGGGTGAAGTGCAGACTGTCAGCTTTAATTTGAGGGTATTTTCATACATATCGGATGAACCGTTTATGAATTATAGAAGCTTTTGTACATGGTCCCCCCCATTTTCGGGCATCAAAAAACATTGGACAGTTTAACATAATGTAGAATAAAGTAATCATTGTTAATATTTGGTCGCATATCCTTTGCATGCAATGACTGCTTGAAGTCTGCGATGTATCGCCATCACCAGACGCTGGGTATCTTCCCTGGTGATGCTCTGCCAGGCCTGTGCTGCAGCCATCTTCAGTTCCTGCTTGTTTCGGGGACTTATTGCCTTAAGTCTCCTCTTCAGCATGTAAAATGCATGTTCAATTGGATTCAGATCTGGTGATTGACTCGGCCAGTCAAGGATTTTCCACTTTTTGGCCATCAAAAACCCATTTTTGCTCTAGCAGTATGTTTAGGGTCATTGTCTTGTTGCATGATTAAGTGCCGTCCAATGAGTTTGGAGGCATTTGGTTTTATCTGAGCAGATAAAATATTTCTGTAGACTTCAGAATTCATTGTTCTACTTCTGTCTGCAGTCACATCATCGATGAAAACAAGTGAGCCTGTTCCACTGGCAGCCATACAGGCCCAAGCCATAACACCCCCTCCACCATGTTTCATGGATGAGGTGGTATGCTTTGGATCATGGGCATTTCTTTTTTTTCTCCACACTTTTGTCTTTCCATCACTCTGGTACATGTTAATCTTTGTCTCATCTGTCCACAATATTTTTTTCCAGAACTCTTGGGGCTCTTTTAGGTGCTTTTTAGCAAACTGTAATCTTGCCTTTCTGTTCTTCAGGCTTATCAGTGGTTTGCATCTTGTAGTGTACCCTCTGTAGTCCTGCTGGTGTAGTCTTCTGCGTATGGTAGACTTTGACACATCTACACCTGCATCCAGGAGAGTGTTTTTGATCTGTTGGGCTGTTATCAGAGGTTTTTTCTTCACCATAGAGAGTATTCTCCGGTCATCCACTACAGTGGTCTTCCTCTGTCTACCGGGTCTTTTGACATAATTGAGTTCACCGGTTGTTTTTTTCTTGTTAATGATGAACAAAACTGTTGACTTGGGCATGGCCAGGTTTTTTGCAATGTTCCTGAATGATTGATTTTCATTTCTAAGCCTTATGACGGCCAACTTCATTTGCATCGACACTGCTGTCTTCCTCATGTTGTCACACCCCAATAACAACCTCCAAAGGCAATAGCAACGTCTAGAATCATTACTATTCATCAACAGCTCTCCTGCATTCACTAACGACACAAATGAATACACCTGCCTAACGACACACATCTGTGAAGCCAATTTAACAAATACTTGTAGTACCTTAAAATGGGGGGACCATGTACAAAAGGTGCTGTCATTTCTAAACGGTTCATCCGATATGTATGAAAATACCCTCAAATTAAAGCTGACAGTCTGCACTTCACGCTCATTGTCATTGTATCCTTTCAAACTCAAAGTGCTAGAGTACAGAACCAAAATAACAAAACAATGGTCACTGTCCAATGAATTATGGAGCTCACTGTATATATATATATATATATATATATATATATATATATATATATATATATATATATATATATATGCGTGTGTGTCTGTGGGTGGGTGGGTTTGTTCATGCTAGGTGCGTGCGTGTGTGTGTGTGTGTGTAGATGCACCTGAGGCCTCCAGCTCCATACCATCCAGACAGTGATCATCCCACACCAGTTCCCCGTTGGCGTCCTCCTTCTGACATGGCGGGTACTCTAGCTTGGCAGTGAATGACACCACAGAACCGTTGATTGCCGGACTGTCGCTGGTCAGGCGCACTTTGACGGGCTTACCTGGATCCGGAGGGGAAATTAGTTGATAAATGTTGTGAGAACGTTATAAACTTTCTCTGCATAATTTGAAAAGGTCTCTGGCGGTGCTCACCTTTTCTCCGCGTTAGTTCCTTGGGACCGAAGGGCGGGTAGAGATAGTCATCCCACGGGTTGCTGTCTGGGTTCCAACCGGGGATCGGCGGGAACTTCATCGACAATGAATGCTTGTGAGGGAACATGTCCCGGTAAGCTGAGAGAGAGAAGAGAGAGAGAGAAGAGAGAAGAGAGAGAAAGAGAGGAGAAAGAGAGAGAGAGAGAGAGAGAGTACAATTTTGTTTTGAGACTTAGGCCTATAGAATTATAGGTTAAAATTGTGCTTTTAAAAACTTTGGAAAATCTACCTAATGTGAGAGCCCTAATGTAAGTTTATCGTGTTAATTCGTTGAAACAGGCCTATTTCCTTAACCATAATGAACTGTAATATTCTGGATATAGACTGACGAGTGCAATAGATTTTGTTTAAAGTCGTGTTATATACTGAATAAAAGTAACCTTTGGAAAACCTATCCAGGTAACCATATTCACAAGACGGATCTCCATGTGCACGCGCGTAAATGGCGTAATTGGGCTCATGGGACTGTGACTGACAGGACAAGCGCGTGGACGCTAGTAACGCAATAACAGCTCGCGCCTCTGAAATTCTTATGAGATGAGCAAGGTCAGAAGAATACAATGAAAGGAGCGTTGCTTTTTCCTTGTAAAGAGTAATTTGAAAACCACAGGGTAAACGGAGAAAATGGCAGATAAATGTCAATGCCATGCATATGTGAAAGTATTTCGAACTATAGTCATTTGAAAGACTTGACTGGGTGCATTAATAAACCTTTATAGGCTAAAAAGGAAAAATATTTAAAAAAACGCATAACAATTATCAATAACAATGTAACAAGTATCCCTATATCATTTTAGTTATCCATTTGCCAAAACGTTATACGTTATCTGCATCCTATACCGCAAACCTGATTGATGGGTACAGCTAAAACCCCAAAAGCAACCAAAAATGTACTTACTTTTGAGTCCATTTGCTTGAGAAACGAAAAAAGTGCAAGCCAGAACACAAACATAAAGTAAAGCTCCCATTTCGACCTGAAGAAAAAGTTGCACCTGTAATATCCACACAACCCCAAAGATAGTGGCTCCTAACGCAGACCCCACCAAACACAGAACTGCTCCCACACGCAGACACGTATTGTCCCTTTCTTCCCCCGCGTGCCCCGAGTTCCATAATTTAATTGAGGGCTGCATGCACTCGCAAACATGTGATGTTGATAACAAGATGCATCTCATCCTTCATTAGGTCGCGCGCCTCATGTGGACTGTCTCAGTCCCCACCCACTCTGCCCTGTCCTGTCTCTTACATTTAAAACACCTCAAAAAATGTCTCATGTTCTCTCGTCGCCAAAACAACAACATAAATAATAATTGACCAGTATCCAGGAAGTGGAAGAATACTTGGAGGTCTGAGAGGGTTGAAACTTTACGGATGGAGTCCAAATCCTAGTCCAATTTGGTGGAGGCTGTAGTTTCAGAAGAATCCAGACGTCAACAAATTAGGATTTTTTAAGGTCTGGCTAAAAGGCCTATAGCCAGGTCTGGATTTGTATGAAGCATCGAAATTCAAGGAAATAGAGACCCAGGCTATTTCACGAGTTATTGTAAAATTAAAATATAGAATATTATTTTATCCAAATATTCGCATATTCTACATAAAGCCTCTTTTGAATCATGACAGTTCCTGTAAATCTTGATCAAACAGAGCCTATTAATTTTAATATTGACTTAATACCGACACATTTTCCTTAGATTTAATCTTGTTTTTAGCTTTTTATTGATGCAGATATTATTTTCGAAATAGTCTTTTGTGTTGTTCAAATGCTAACCATTTAAAAACAAAAATATATAACAAACTTCAAAAGAAAACATTTCGATAGGCTAATAAATACATATTTGTATAGGCCTATAGCCTTTTCCTTAAAGCCACATTCCTGTTGAAATGGTGCCTTTACGCACATATTGCACACAAAAACATTATTCAACGTATATCAGACGAATTTTACAGCATAGGTCTTGGGACATTGTCATCTAAAAAATTAGGAACACTTCTCTTCTCCAAAATTCATGCCAACGCAGCCGTATAGGTCTATACTGCCCCTTTGCAAACCGGAAGGTGTGCAGTTATCTTATGATGCGCGAGCCGTCTCGTTAACACAGCCCAACCTGTGATGATCATCGTGACCGGCCATCAGGTCTGCTGTCACGAGATCAGCTCCAGCGAGTGCAAAAACGAGGCAATGATAAATCTGTCATGTAGCCTACAGTTGGCTAGCCTATTGGTCTTCAAAAGTATATTTATTTAATAAAAAAAACTGCTGTAAATTGTTATGGTATTTGTTGTTACTATTCGGACCAAAATTACCCCTTATTTTGAGTGTTGCAGGGATTATTTATGTTAGTCAAAAAAATAGCTACAATGATGTATTGTTCAGTGAGAAAATTCTGGATTATCATGAGAGTAGCCTAACTGGCACGTTGGAGGGAAATCAATGACAGGTGGTGATGATGATTTGATAGCCCAGTGAAGTTGAGTAGGCTACTATGCCAGTTCTAGTCAATATAGTCAATCATTTTGGTCCTGCCATCACGTGGTGCTTTTTGATGACTCCTCATGATAATTTAATAACATAGTTTTTGACAAGCTAACCCTCTATACAATCGAACTATACTGTACTTCCCCTTAGTCAGACTCAATGGGTCATATTCAATACATCCAAATCAGGCACTGGGTTCCTATATGACAAAAAAACAACATTATTGCTCTGAGAATTCATAATTGGGTTCATTAAATTAACCCATGTAACACCCTTTGTGAAAAACTATTAAAATAAACCAATTTGATCTTGAATGATACAATTTCTCACTCCAAAATAACTTTCTCTACATTCATTGATGTTGAACAGCTCATACTCCTGTCTGTTTACTATTGTCATTCCTTCTCCTACTCCTAATCCTGCTCCCCCTCTCTGGCGCTCGACGTGGCTGGTCTACTAACCACTGGCCCTGGCAATCTTCATTACGCACCCCTGCTCCCCATCATTACGCACACCTGGACTTCATCATCACCTTGATTACCTTCCCTTTATTTAGCCCTCAGTAGCCTCAGTCATCAGGCAGTATTGGTTTGTTTTCATTCACGTTATGTACGCTGCTCATGGTTTGGTTATCTGCATTCTTTATTATTAAACTCACCTTCTGCACCTGCTTCCTGACTCCCAGCGTATACGTGACAACTATCTGCTGTTGATGGCCTGGTTGATAAGCACAAATGAACACATGACCATTGGAGATGTCCTATTATGAACTCAATTAGACAATTTAACAAGAGACACCAGTTTGGACCACTGACTGACCCATGACTGACTTGTCACATGACATGAGGACAGCAAACGATTTCTACACTCAATATAAATATTTGGGAGGTGTGTGCGCGTGTGTGTTTGTGTGTGTAGAGAGAGAGAGAGGGAACGACAGAGAGAAAGAAAGAGAGTGAAACGGAAATAAGAATGGACCGGTTCTGTAAAAATTGGGTAAGTATTGAATTTAACATCCCTGAAATTGGGTACTGCATTTCTATCCAAATTCACAAGGTTACCTTACTCTTTGCCGTGTAGGCCCCCTATAGGGCAGAACATACACTCAAACCAATGTCTTTAACTATTAGGCCCAACTGCTTTATTTATTAATACAGTAGGCTTACTAAATAGGGACTTCGTAGGTACATTTCTGTATACAGTTATGGAATGGACATGTTGATGTTCTGTGGGAGAAAGCAAGCGACTAACTCTGAACAACTTTTGTAGCTCTAGCTGGCTGGTGTCCAGAGACTGCACAAATAATTATTATATCTACAGTTGAAGTCGGAAGTTTACATACACCTTAGCCAAATACATTTAAACTCAGTTTTTCACAATTCCTGACATTTAATCCTAGTAAAAAATTCCCTGTTTTAGGTCAGTTAGGATCACCACTTTATTTTAAGAATGTGAAATGTCCGAATAATAGTAGAGAGTGATTTATTTCATTACATACCCAGTGGGTCAGAAGTTTACATACACTCAATTAGTATTTAGTAGCATTGCCTTTAAATTGTTTAACTTGGGTCAAACGTTTCGGGTAGCCTTCCACAAGCTTCCCACAATAAGTTGGGTGAAGTTTGGCCCATTTCTCCTGACAGAGCTGGTGTAACTGAGTCAGGTTTGTAGGCCTCCTTGCTCGCACACGCTTTTTCAGTTCTGCCCACAAATCTTCTATAGGATTGAGGTCAGGGCTTTGTGATGGCCACTCCAATACCTTGATTTTGTTGTCCTTAGCCATTTTGCCACAACTTTGGAAGAATGCTTGGGGTCATTGTCCATTTGGAAGACCATTTGCGACCAAGCTTTAACTTCCTGACTGATGTCTTGAGATGTTGCTTCAATATATCCACATAATTTCCCTTCCTCATGATGCCATCTATTTTGTGAAGTGCACCAGTCCCTCCTGCAGCAAAGCACCCCCACAGCATGATGCTACCACCCCCATGCTTAATGGTTGGGATGGTGTTCTTTGGCTTGCAAGCCTACCCCCTTTTTCCTCCAAACATAACAATGGTCATTATGGCCAAACAGTTCTATTTTTGTTTCATCAGACCAGAGGACATTTCTCCAAAAAGTACGATCTTTGTCCCCATGTGCAGTTGCAAACTGTAGTCTGACTTTTTTATGGCCGTTTTGGAGCAGTGGCTTCTTCCTTGCTGAGAGGCCTTTCAGGTTATGTCGATTTAGGACTCGTTTTACTGTGGATATAGATACTTTTGTACCTGTTTCCTCCAGCATCTTCACAAGGTCCTTTGCTGTTGTTCTGGGATTGATTTGCACTTTTCGCACCAAAGTACGTTCATCTCTAGGAACGCGTCTCCTTCCTGAGCGGTATGACGGCTGCATGGTCCCATGGTGTTTATACTTGCGTACTATTGTTTTTACAGATGAACGTGGTACCTTCAGGCGTTTGGAAATTGCTCCCAAGGATGAACCAGACGTGGAGGTCTACCATTTTTTTTCTGAGGTCTTGGCTGATTTCTTTTGATTTTCCCATGATGGCAAGCAAAGAGGCACTGAGTTTGAAGGTAGGCCTTGAAATACATCCACAGGTACACCTCCAATTGACTCAAATTATGTCAATTAGCCTATCAGAAGCTTCTAAAGCCATGACATCATTTTCTGGAATTTTCCAAGCTGTTTAAAAGCACAGTCAACTTAGTGTATGTAAACTTCTGACCAACTGGAATTGTGATACAGTGAATTATAAGTGAAATAATCTGTCTGTAAACAATTGTCGGAAAAATTACTTGTGTCATGCACAAAGTAGATGTCCTAACCGACTTGCCAAAACTATAGTTTGTTAACAAGACATTTGTGGAGTGGTTGAAAAACTAGTTTTAATGACTCCAACCTAAGTGTATGTAAACTTCCGACTTCAACTGTATACAACAGTGTGTGGACACCCCTTCAAATTAATGGATTCGGCTATTTCAGCCACACCCGTTGCTGACAGGTGTATAAAATCGAGCACACAGCCATGCAATCTCCATAGACAAACATTGGCAGTAGAATGGCCCGTACTGAAGAGCTCAGTGACTTTCAACGTGGCACCGTCATAGGATTTGCCACCTTTCCAACAAGTCGGTTCGTTAAATGTCGGCCCTGCTAGAGCTGCCCCGGTCAACTCTAAGTGCTGTTATTGTGAAGTGGAAACGTCTAGGAGCAACAACGGCTCAGCCGCGAAGTGGTAGGCCACACAAGCTCATAGAACGGGACCGGCGAGTGCTGAAGCGCGTAGCGTGTAAAAATAGTCTGTCCTCGGTTGCAACACTCACTACCGAGTTCCAAACTGCCTCTGGAAGCAAAGTCAGCACAATAACTGTTCGTCGGGAGCTTAATTAAATGGATTTCCATGGCTGAGCAGCTGCACACAAGCCTAAGATCACCATGCGCAATGCCAAGTGTCGGCTGGAGTGGTGTAAAGCTCGCCGCCATTGGACTCTGGAGCAGTGGAAACGCATTCTCTGGTGTGATGAATCATGCTTCACCATCTGGCAGTCCGACAGACTAATCTAGGTTTGGCGGATGCCAGGTGAACACTACCTGCCCCAATGCATAGTGCAAACTGTAAA